AACAAAGGTTGGTGTGCAGGACAGCTCCGCAAATATCACTGGGTAGACTTGATACAGATAGAGGACGAGGGGAGGAGCAGACTGAGAGAGAAGGACTGAATCTAATCCAGATGGACAATAAATGTGTGCTACTGCAACTGATCAACTCCTATGTAGTGTCCTCTGTGAATACCACCAGTTTCTATGTGAAATGCACAGGTAACAACGAGTCTTTTCAACAATGTGATAAAAATTTTAAAATATCATATAATAACGATTTGGTGTGGTTTGTCGTCTTCCCTGCTGGGGGAAGGGTGGAGCAGTTTTTCAGACTATGTTGATGTTTTTTGGTCTTGTCCATTTCTTAAACCTTTCTGGAAGTAATTGGGACAGTTAATGGCTCTGGACAGAACATTTGATTTCACCTTCACCTCTATATAGTATGGAGACATTATTGAAGGTCTAACTAAAAAGGAAACAATGAAACTCACCATAAACATCATAAACTCTATCCACCGTAAAGAGAAAATGACTTTCACGCTGCGACTTCAAGAGGAGAAGGAAGATGAATGAATGAATACTGGAAAAAAAGGAATTGCTGCAAACAGACTCTTAAGACTCTTGAAATCTGTTTCTGTATGTCAGAATGTATCTGTATACATTCTGTACTGTACCTGTCTATTCTGTTTTCGTATGTTTTTAGTTTTCCATGATAATACTTTAACATCCTAGCTTCATTATTTCAATCTCCATATAACAAAAAGTAAGGTATAAGAAAAAATGACTTGCTGAAACTCGAGTAAATTAGAAAATGAAGAAGCTTTAATGACTTGACATTTTGAGATTATCTTAAATTATTATTTGAGATTTTAACTCAACACCCATTTGCAAAACCCCACCAGTTGTCTGTTTCAACAATAACAAATAAAATATTTTCTGCAAAAAGTTTAACTGTCACTAGTTTGATCAAAAATGAGTGTGAGAACATTTCTTATATGTTGACTGCCACTGATTGGTTATAAAACTCTGACTTAGAAACCAATGGGTGACCTTTATGTACAGTCTACTTGTACTGGGGCGGCTGCGGGTCAGTGGTAGGGTCACTCAACTGGAAGGTTTGGGGTTCAATCCCCAGCTTCTGCAGCCACATGTCTAATGTGTCATTTGGAAGTCATTTATCCCCAAGTAGCTCCCACTGCTTGGTCAGTTGGGTATGAATGTGTATGAATGGGATTAATACTGATGTTACAGCGGTATGTTTACATCACCACTTTTCATAGCATCCTAGTGTATGAATGTGTGTGAATGGGTGGGTGTGACCTGCGGTGTAAAAGCGCAGTGTTTAAACAGTCTATGCCCCCAACATAACCGAGATCCCAGTTCATTCCTTAAACTGTTATGTCAAAAGGGACTGCCTTTTGGTTTCAAACTGATATGAAAAAATATGTTTTAGTCAATAGTTTGTTGAACTTAATGCAGTGTCCAGATGAGGAAAAGAGACCTCTTCTAAGTGGATTAAGTTGATTAAGTGGATTCTTACCACTGGTGTGAAAGTGCTTAAGCGTTTGCAATGCTGCAAGCTATCATCAACAGGCAATAGGCTCAATCATCTTTTGTTGTCTCATATCAAAGATTGCGGCATTACTTTAAGAGGCTTCCTGGAATGTTTTTTAGTGAGATGTGTTGCTGTGTTGTTGGGTCTTTGGCTTATAAAAAGTCACTGTCAGTGTAAACAGAAACACTGGACACAAGGAAGACACACTGGCACCTTTGAAAGGTTTTATGAAGTTCATACATAACACATAATAGAGACATTTAAAGAAAAAAACACAACTACAGATGACGTTGCTATAGCTGCAGCAAAGAAAAGTCCTCTTATGGGTATTGTGGTTGGGATGGCTCTCCATTATTTGTGATATACGTTGGTACTGCCTTGTGCAACACTACAGTCTTTGTTGTATTCTTATTGATTCAGTAACATAAAGGCACACTTATATTCACTCTAGTGAAAAAAGAGCAACAAAGCTTGGAGTTAGTTCTGTTGGAAGGAGCACAATAATTATATCATGCCTCAAGCTTCAAAAGTAAAAAAAAAATAATCTCACAATTACATTTTTAATTTTAAAGACTTTCTCTTAAAGCTCCTGTGAGAAACCTTTGCTTTGTGTTGATTTTGGTGACCTCTAATGTCTTTGCTGATTTTATGCTGTACATGTGTAAGTGATCTTTTTCTTTAACATTAAAATGTATCACTTATCAGTAATCTTTATGGGGAATCTGTAAAATAAAAAGGCCACTGCTGTGTGCTGTTAATCACTTCATCTGACACCTACCCTACGGCAGCTGTTTCAGTCAGTAAACATAGAACATTGAACATAGAAATTATCAATCTTTATGCTGATTATCTCGTTTGCTTTTGAAGCTCATAAAAAAAGCATCAGTTTTAATTTCAGTCTATTTAATAACCAGTTCATCAGTCCTCACAGGAGCTTTAAATAAACGTATGTTAGGTCAGTATCTCTGATGTAATGAGACAACAAAATATGATTGAGCCTATTGCTCACTGATAAAAGTCTGAAGCATTTGCAAAATTCTTTGATATAATAAACTGGGGGTAGAGCCTTTTAGAGTTGTAGCTGCTACAATTCTTATTTTCCCAACTTTCAGAAAATACTTGTTGCATTGCAGCTGGATAATCAAGCCCAAATTAAATGATTGAATTGGCCATTCACATTCCCAGGAAAAATTAGAAGCAGCCAATAAAGAGCAGGTATTCTCTGCTAAGTTGAAAGTAAATGATTAGTATGACTAAACGGACAAGACAAGATCAGGGACTGCAGATGCTGGTTGAGGATTCATTGCTGCTTTTTGGGTTAAGGACACTGAAAGTTATGAACAGAAGAAGAGCACTTTATCTGTTACTTCTACTGCTGCATAAGAATACTTTTATTTGGAATTAACCTCACCTCAACACACAAATGGCCCAAAAATACAGATCTGAAATGTAAATAAATGATTTAGGTCGGAGTCATGCCACAGAGATGCTGGGACGTGCTCCAAAAATACATCTTCATTTCACACCTATATCACCATGGATCACTGATTCCCAAACACTTTCTCCCAGGCCTCCTTTTGGCAGATCAAGCTCCGCCCCCTCCCCTCACCATACAGATCGATGTCTGCAAAAAGTAGAGAATAGCAGCTTGTTATATTGTATGTCTTTATTTGAGTAGCTGTGACGTCAGGTGTAGATTTTATTGTCTGCCATTTCCTCACAAAATTTGCCAAGCAGTGCAAAACTGTGCCACTCCAGCCGCCCTTAGTAATAAAATACTAAATATTGGTAAAATACTACATAAAATACGATTTCAAGTAGCGATTTTAGTTTTAGTTTATTAGTTTTTTGAATCAGGGACAATGTACAAAATAACATTAGTCTCAGAAGAGGAAAGATGCTTTTTTACTTTAAGCTAACTAGCTAACACACATTTCACAAGACAGAACGGAGAACAATATGCAGATATTAAAACATTTCATTTAAAGTTGAGATCTTTAAAATCACTACTTTAAACTTGCAGTCGAAACAATAATTCAGTATCACCAAATAATTTGTTTCTAGTTTTTAGCTTCAAAGGAAACACTTACATCACTGCAAGAACATTTTACCTGTCAACGTTTTGTTGGTCTCTCCTAATCAATCCGGCTATATGTGTTTCTCATCTCAGCCAACAGATTGCAGCTGAATCCTTGAGCAAGAATTATTTTCTAACTTTATCTCAAAAAACAAAATCAACTACTGCGGACTCCAAATAAAACTCTCTCAGGCTCCAAACTCAAGTTTGACTCAGTATTAGAGGAGATGTAACTCAGATCAGAGGCTGTAACTCACTATCAATATGAAGGTTTTGTTCCAATAAATCAGTCTCTGATCTTTGTGATGACAGTAATTGTAATTTGTTCAAGCAAGTGGTAAATAGCAGAAAAAGGTGCTTCCATGTGCATCCGTTTTCAGACAGAAAAAACAGACAAGCCAGCCAGTATAAATATCACAATCTGTGGTTTATTACCAAGGGGTTTAATGTACACTGTAATATGAATTCATAGAAAAAGCTATTTATTCATGTACAAATTACAAATACATCAGCTGTTTTCTCCACTCTTCTGTTTAAATGTACACAAGTCTCTTCTCTCCCATCGCTGTCCCTTAGCAGCTTTGCAACCTGGCAAGACTTTGCAGTAAAATGCAGATAAGAGAAGTACGAAAAAATAAAAATTCATTTCAGTCATCTCAACACATGAAGAAAGAAGAGGCAAAGGAAATACCAGGAACCCAGAAGTCTTACAGTTCTTTCTATGAAACATGGACCTTGGTAAAGTTTGATTTCTGAGAAAACAAGTAGTATATGATTGCATTTTACCATTAAAAAAAAACACGTAATCTCACATGAAAGCTTATTCCAAACACTTTATATTAACAACTTTCTTTAATACATCAGTATCTGTATGTGAATGACTTTGTAAAGCTGTGGTGTAGAAAAAAAAAAGTCCCTCGGATTAGACGGAGGGATGGCGATGGAGGAAGAAAGGGAGCAGACAGCCGGCCTCTTCACACAATTAAATATCCACAATCAGTCTGACTGGGTAGAAAATAACGACTGGATCACCCAGCACAAGTCCATAGGGTTTGTCGATACGTTAAATGAGCTAAACTTCCTCTTATGACACACACACACACACATAACTCCACTTAAAGACAAAATAAGAAAAAAGCAGACAGACAAAAACATATATTTTATACAATTCTGTGTTTCTATCCACCACATTGGCACCACATAGTAGATTAAGTTGAATCTTCATCTCAAGTAAATTACCGCTTGTTTCATTTAGTGTGTATCTTCTACAGTGCAGGATATATGGGCTTTGATTAAGTAAGTGTCTGTGTGTGTGTGTTTCTGTGTGTGTGTGTGTGTGTGTGTGTGTGTGTGTGTGTGTGTGTGTGTGTGTGTGTGTGTGTCTGTGTGTGTGTGTGTGTGTGTGTGTGTGTGTGTGTGTGTGTGTGTGTGTGTGTGTGTCTGTGTGTGTGTGCTTGTATTTCTGTACTTCTAAGGACAAAGTGTGTTCCCTCAGGGATAAATAGTAGAAAGCTCTGCCTTAAGAAGTTCTGGTTTCTCTATACTTGTTTGAGGCTATCTTTTAAAACGTAGTATTATGATGAGGATGATGTCAAAGTTCTTGGTCTACTGCTTAAATCTACCATTCTTTAAAAAATGATTCTTAGATAAAATGCCATAATTAGACATGATGATCAGGGAATTGCTTAAATGGGAGAACATGTTTAATTTATTATGAAAACACATCTACTTTGATAAGAAGCAATATTGTGGTTCCCATCCTGGAGCGAGTAGGTGGGGGCTCCGAGGAGGTTAGAGATGCTCTACACAACAGCTTGGTCAAAGGCCCGATGCTAACAGTGTTACTTCTGGATGCTGTCAATCAATTACATATTTTCATCCCGATTAATCGTTGAATTAAAATAGTTGATCGTAATTAATCTAACTTTCTATTGCATGTTTGAAATTCCATTATTTTGCATTTCAAAACAGAATTTGGTATGCTTTTATTTTGGATGTTGTACTGTTCAGGGCTAATGATACTGTACTTCCTGTGTGGATTTAAAGCTGCTTTTATTTTGAAAGAAAATAAGGAACTTCTGGTAGATGGATGGTTACAACATTAGCATACTTGCTATGGATCTCAAAGTAAGTGGAAACTGCTTAAGGAAAATGTTTTATGTCACAACGTGCACATTACTTTTAAATTGTGAACAGAGCCGTCTGGGAGTTTTGTCTAAAGTGAAATGAGTCACTCAAAGGTACAGTGGTGATGATCTTTTCCATCACTGTGGCTACAGGGAGACACTGCGGTCAGTGCTGTGGCTTAGCTACAGTATGGTGTCTGCGGGGATAAAATAGCACGCAATCAATGCAATCAAAAACAATTAATTATCACGCATCACAGTTAACGTGTTCATGCTGAAACCACCAGTCCATTCTTTAAGGAGGTCGACTTCTTTAATTAAATGACCTGCGTAAGATATTAGTTATTGAACAATGCAAGTGAGTTAGTGCTTATTCACCCCCAAACCACGCTCTTTGTCTTATATAATTATTCTTTTACATCAAAAATGTTTCAAATGTGACATTTTGTTACTGTGCGCTTGAGAGTCTTACAAAAGGCAGCTTGTGTATTTTTGCTACCTTGACCACTTTTAAAAAACCAAACAGATGTAGCCTATTTACTATTTGAACAATTGCAAGCAAAACTGAATCTGAAGGAAATAACTGATTGTTATATTTTGTAGTAGAATGCAACTGACCAAACTGCTGTATGTAACAATTCGTGAGTAGACATTTTGACAGGATTCTTTAAAACTGATGTTTCCTAAATTCATATATTTTAGAGCTGTGGGCCTACAGGGACCAATATTTGGATTGGTTAGCACACAACTTTGGTCCCAAAATATTACTTTTGAAAATCTATGAAATTCGTTGGATTACAATAATAAGGAACGTGATTATTTACGTGAGTTTTGATATCTTTGGTCATCACTTTACTCGTACTTAACCATGTTGCGGTTTGATACATCTCAACAACTATTGGGATGGTTTGCATTGAAATGTGTTTTCATGCACTCCTGTTGTCTTAATGAATCTTAATATATTTGATCATCTCACTAGTCGTAGATTGCTATTATCAGGAACAGTTTAGCCTTTCTCCACTCTTTGGTTCATCAGCCTTCAGTCTATTTACTTTAGCTGTTATTTATGATTAAAGCTAATTGGCAAGTGCTAATATGCTAACTCAGAAAAGGGACATTATTCCTAGCGAAAAAGCTCTTAGCTTGCGTGCTTGCTTTTTTAAACACATTTTTCTTACATGATTTGGCTCAATGTAGGAGTCTGGTAACAAGCTCTTACTCTACTCTTACATTCTACAACTATGGATCTATAGTGTCTTCTGTAATCGTTACTCATTTAAGATAAGGAAAATTATAGGAAAATACTTTATTTTAATTTCGATCCAAGAGCAAAATAGCTGATTGATAACATCCTCATCTCTGTGTAGGAGCAGCTGAGCAGAAAGACTTGCTTCCAGTCTTTCAGCTAAACTAGGCTAATCACTTCCTGGTTCTTGTTCTAATCAGAGTACAGGTATGAGGTCTTCCATCAAACAAATACAACATGGCCTATCCCAAAATTGGAACTATTAAAGAAACAACAAGTTACAATCTCTTTTTCTCCTTATAATAGGGCCTAACAATTGGAAGTATGGTAAAATATTTAGAAAGATTTTATTTAAAAAACTCCACTTTTTAAAGTCACTACAATAAAGCATATAGAGGAACTGTAGAAAATTGTATTTTGTAGTATAATCAGAAAAAGGATGATGTTAGTTCAGACTAAAGATTTGGGCAACGAGTACAAATAGATTTGTAACAAAGGTACCCTCCCTGATATTACATGATGACCACAAACTCTCCTCTCAATCGCCTCCGATGATCACCTGTGCAGTGATTTGGGATTTGGTTGATCTGATGGACACGGGGAGTTCCACATTAAGTGTTGTGAATTTGGCAGTGACTGAATGAAATCAATGAACGTCCTCACAAGTAAAGTAATACAAGCTTGTGTGTGTTGTTTTAGTGTCTCTTGTCGCCCCCTAGTGTCCGTCCTCTCTCACTGTCTGTGTGTTGATGATGGGCGTGTAGCTGCCTCCACGCAGTAGTTGGGTTTGTCAGAGGGAGTGAAGCCCGGCAGACACACGCACTGATAGGAGCCCACTGTGTTAATGCACTTTGCGTTTTTACACAAAGACATCCGATTGTTAAGTTCTGAACACTCGTTCACATCTGTGGACAGAAAAGAAAGACGACATATTTTAGAATTCAATTATTTTTGTTTTTCTTTGTTTTCGTTGTGCGTAACTGCCCTCTTACCAATGCAGGCCATGCGGGACAGGTCCAAGGTGTATCCATCGAAGCAGTCGCAGGTGTAACCCTCCTGAACTCGGACACACCGACCGTTCTCACAGCCGTTCAGTATACCACACTCCTCTGCTTGCAAACCCTCAAATGCCTTGTATGGACCTGTGGCACACACACACACACACACACACACACACACACACAAAAGAAAACACTATTTATAATAAATAAACCAATGGGTAACGTATGATTCGTCGTATGATTATAAGAGAAAAAAAAACAAATTTTTACAGTAATATTATGATAATATTATTGTTAAGGAGGTTTTGAAACTGTACATAGAGGGTACATATATTTGTATAGATCCAGTGGTAGTGATATTTGCTGTCGGAAATGTAAAAGATGATTGTTGTTGGAGCGGCTGTGGCTCAGTGGTAGAGTCGGTCGCCTCTCAACTGGAAGCTCAGGTGTTCGATCCCCAACCACATGTCCGATGTGTCCTTGGGCAAGACACTTAACCCCAAATTGCTCCCCCTGCTTCGTCAGTGATGTGTGCATGTGTACCAATGGGATTAGCAACTTCTGATTGACACTTTACACAGAAGCCTCTGCCATCAGTGTGTGAATGGGTGAGAATGGGTAGATACTGATAATCTTGTTTACTTTTGTAGGCCATAAAGAGGCATCAGTATCACTTGCAGCCTGTTTCATAACCGTCTAAAAACTCCTAAGAGTAGCTTTAAATGCAAAATAAATGAAAAAAAATCAAATGTTCATTAGAACTCCAGAACTTCTAGTTTATCATCACATCATTACAAGTTTTCTTCACTATTAAAGTAATCCTGAAAACACTGAACCCAGGACCTGTTACCAGCTAGTTTTAAAAAAAAAGGTTTCCTGGCGTCCACATAATTAGTTGACTCCTTGTCAACACCAAACTAATTACATTCGTCAAGCATTGTGGACACTGTAGTGAGACTAGTAGCAATATCAGTTCCTAAATGATATGAAGACTAAACCAATGGTTGTAACCCTCTCATATTGGCCTTTCATCAACAGACATTTTCATTGAATTTCTACACAGATTTGTCTCAATTTCCCTAAGGAGGCTTTAGTGGGTTACTAGTGGGCTAACAAAGAGAAAAACTGATTATACTTCTAACCCTAGAGTTTTTAAAATGTTTCCCTTAGTGTCCAGTGATTTTACATCTCTCCAACCCACCTAAAAACATACATCGTTTATGTTTTTACACTTTGAGCCATCAGGTTGGATGGTTTTCCTCTGAGCTTAGGATTCAGCTTCGGCTAGAATAACACTTTTTAAAGGTTCATATTCTAACATGTTGTTAGTTTTATTGTCACAAGGTGGCAGCATTGCATTGATGCAGCGATGTGAAGGAGAGAGCCTAAGCCAGTGAAGCTGAAGTTGAACATTTATAGGAGGAACCTCAGGGCTTCACTTCCAGATGTTTGTATAACAACCAGCTAAGTAGTTCAACTTATCAATATACAAACTGACTACAATAAATCATTCTTCCCTCAGCTGCTTCTATCTCACTGAAGTTAAACAAATGTCATGTTTGTATTTATATTTTATCATATAAAAGCCTTGGTATTTTTCTAATAAGCTCCACGAGCAGAAACTTGATAAAACTCATACATATTACATATTGGAGATGCTTTTAAGAATTGGAGAGAGGTTAGAGCGCAGAAATGTTTTAAAGAGGACATATTCTCCCCCTTCTCCACCTTTTCAAACAGTCCCCGGTGGTTTAAATGAAACATCTGTGCTGTGTTTTGGTCAAAATATAACATGAATCAAGCACCAGAGGAGGTTTGTGACCCTGTATAAACCAGCTCTCTTAAAACGCTCCATTTTGGTGTGTGTGTCTCTTTAAATGCAATGACCCCCCCTCCTGAGTTTTCCCAGTAGACATCACTCCTCTGTAGTGAAAATAAAAATGGCCGACCTGTGCAAAAGTTTTGCTCTAGGCTGGGGGTGGAGTCCATGGGTGGAGATACCAGGGGAGGGGATTTTTTTTTTTTACCAGAATCCCACTGTGACATCACAAGGACAGCTCTTTATAATGTTTTGAATTTGGACTGCAGTACCCATTTTAAACGCTAGGTGTCAGTATTACATATTGCTCCTTTAAAGTTTGCCTGACTTTGTTTTGATCTCCTGGCATCTTTAAAATCCTTTTGTCCTCTTTTCCAAAAACATTAAAGTCAAGTATAAAAACAGTCCTGTGTTTAATGCTGTTTTTATGATCACATAAATGCTGTTTGAAATAGAAATACTCACGCTCCTCGCTCTCATAAAAAGGCAGGGAGGCCTGCTGCTCAGATGATGGGGAATAGTCTGGGTTCACTTCATATTCATGGACCGGCCCGGCAACAAGGGCGTCACGACCGTACGGCCGCCGCCCGTCACCCAGAGGAAGGTTACACATGGACGCATAGTCCTCTGTGACGGAGACAGACAGAGACAGAAGGCATAAATCACTGGATACCAAACATCTCAGCAATCAAATGCTGTACTTATATTATTATAAGAAAAAAAGGGGAAGAGGAATGTGAAGAAGGAGATGATGAAGAAAGAGAAGGACAGGCAAAAAATGAGAAAAAGAAGAAGAAAGAAAAGAAGACAAGGAATAGATGAAAAAGAAGGAAGAGCAGCAGCGAGGAGGGGAAGATGAGAAAGAAAAGAAGAGGAAGCACAGAAGAACAAAACAGAAAGACAAGAAAAGGCAGGGGAATATAGACAAGAAAAAGAAGCAGAGGGAGAAGTAGAAACAGAAATAGAGAATAAGTAAAAAATTATGAGGGAGAGGGAGACGAAGACGAATGAGAAGGAGGAGGATAACGAGTGGCACTGATTCTAGAGTTTAAATATTTGCAGCCATGAGCATTAGTATCGCCAACCCACATCTCAGCAATACATCATTTAAGGTTTAATACATTTAGACATATAAAAGACAAACCCTTGGCATTGGGGAAATTCATTTTTCTACCTAGACTCTGAGGAATGAACTTCATTTACAATCAAAACTTCACTTCAGATTTTCTCTCTGTTTACACATCTTATTGGCTGTTAAAAAAGTCAACAGCTAGGTTGTTGGCACAAGTTCCTCAGTGCTCAACAACAGAATGTGTGACCCATGAACATGAGGCTCTATCTGAGCCAGCTCTAACACTGGCCTGAGAGAGGCGTGTGTGTTTGTGTAGTGTGTACCGGTGTTTCTGGGCGGACACAGGGCACAGTCCATGCCCCAGGCCTCTCCATAAAGACAGCAGCACTCAGTGTATGTGGTCTTCCTGCTGGGACCCAGTGGCCGTGTGCACGTCATGGTTTCTCTCACTGTCTGCCAGCAGATACCCATGTAGTCTACCTGCTCCGACTCGTGTTGCTCTGCAAAGACACACACACACACACACACACACACACACACACACACACACACACACACACACATTATCACCACTATTTGAATGGATTTTGCTCTAGATGTAAAATGTCTTCCACTAATCGGGCGATGGGGAGTTTGATCCCTACCTCTTCCTGTACACACGTCAAATTGTCCTCTGGAAGGACACAACTACAAATGACCCTAAATGCTCAACTTTGGCCTCACTTCTGTTTTAGTTTTTTTTAAAGCCGGTAGCAATTATTTGTGGACAAGATAAGTAAAGCGGGAGAAAACTCTGCTGGTCGCTTACAAAACAGCGACAAAAACGTCTCCTCCTTACTTTAACTCTCTCATCCACCCCCCCCCACTACGCTCTGCCAATGAAAGGCGTCTGATCCAACCTTCACAACAGGGTCCTAAGTCTCTGACTAGACTCTTCTCCTCTGTCGCCCCCCGGTGGTGGAATGAACTTCCAAACTCCACGTGATCTGCAGAGTCCCTCTGCACCTTCATAGTGCAAGCTAAAGACCCAGCTCTTTCATGAATACCTACTAACTTAATGATGATGGTCTCCATATTATTGATGATGATGATGGTTGTGACGATGGTTTTTGTTTGATAACGATGACTTATAAGATGGTTTCTATACTGATTAGAGCTCTCAAGAACTGCCCTCAATGTTGTGCTTTGCCTCTGGTCACTTCCTGTCAGCACCTGTTTATCCAATCAGACTCAAAGCTGATGGTTTGCTCTTACTGACATTGTTCCATTTTTTCTAGATCCTTGCTTGTGTTGTTCTTACTCTCTGATGTACGTCGCTTTGGATAAAAGCATCTGCTAACTGAATTGTAGAATTGTGGAATTGTAGAAAAGTAAAGGGGATATCATGAAAAGCTTATACAAGGTTGGTTAGCAAAGCAAATCAGAAATCCATAGAAACAGTCTTATTAAATTGGTCTGAAGGGACTTTGGTTGGAAACCCGATGGTCGCTGGTTCAAGTCCCGGAACAGACCAAGTCTGGGAACTGCTGAAGTGCCCCTAAGCAAAGGTACCCCCACACAGGCGCACTCGGTGTGGCCAGTGCATGTCCATAGGATCCTGTCTGTGCATGTGTGTGTAATTTAGCCTGTGTGTCTGTTACATGTATAACAACAGAGTGTAATATTGAATTTCTCATCACGGGATTAATAGAGTACATCTTCATCTTCACCTTTGAAACAAAGGCCTTTGACAAAAGTAGCCAACAGCAGTCTCCTCTGGACTGTAAGATTAGATGTATATGTAACATTTTATAGAAGTTATGATTCAATTGAGAGGTGTGCTTCTTTCCTGGTGGAATTACAAACAATCAGACTCCTTACCCCAACCAGTTGGAGTTGCCCCCTGCTGGCCATTAGAAAGGCCATTCTACTTTGACTTCACTTTTCAGGCTGGGAGCTACATCTGCTCTATTTATACAGTCAATGGTTAAAGCTCTCTGCCTGGGATTAAGAGAAAGTCTGTTTTACCTGCCACCTCAGGGCTGAAGACACAGCGGTTACTGTTTGGGTCCAGCACCATGGGATGTGTACAGAAACACATATATGAGCCATCTGTGTTCATACACTGTCCACCAACGCACACAGACTCATCCAGACATTCATCGATGTCTGTAGACAAAGAAAAGTAAACAAAGACATCAGAGGACTTTCTTTATGCAAGCTGCACTTCCTGTACACAACCTATCACCATGGACCAATCATGTCTGCACGCACGCACGCACGCACGCACGCACGCACGCACGCACGCACGCACGCACGCACGCACGCACGCACGCACGCACGCACGCACGCACGCACGCACACACACACACACACTCATTCTGCTCCGTTTGCTTTTCTTAAATCAGCTGTAACACACCATGAAATATGAATCAGTAAACACTTGTTTTCACTTTAATTGAAAATACTTTCTAAAAGATTAGTTTGAGTCAGCTCTCTCCTCCTTCACTTCTGATCATCATACTGGGTTACATTTGATTAAAAAAAAAAAATTCTATCATTTAGCTTTTTTTTAAGCTTTGGAGGCTTTTGTTAAGTACTACTGCATTTTGTTAATTTTCTTCATCTTTTCTCATTCATTTGCACGGATAAAGCTCAGAAGCCTCAGGCAAGTTCTGCGGGTTCTCTCTGACTCGACAGGCCAGACCGAAATGGGCTGAATTTCAAAGAATTGAGCCGGGAGCCAAACCTGCGCTGGGCTTCATTCCCCTCACTGCTGTCTTCTTTTGAGAAATAAAATATATATGAACAAAAGTCAAAATGTTCACTTCAGTTAATATACCATCACTTCGCTTAACTTCCCCTATGCATGATCATTAGGTCCAGGTTATCACCAATAAGACACTGTAATTACATTTCAAGGGAGGATGTTTTGTGGTTTGTTAAAGTCTATTATAAAAGAATCCCTTTGCAGGTGTTAAGTTACAAAAACAAGCTGTCTGTCTGAACATTGCTGCTAGCTGTAGCACTGCTGCAGTATTTTACACTTCTGTTTCTCCATCATAGCTCACCTAAAACATAAACACTACTAAGGTAAATTCTGTAAGTCAACTAGTGCTCACACAAGGCAGGTCGCTTTATTTGTAGGACTTTTCTTAAAAACAAACCCTTTGAGGAGATGACTAGAGCAGAACTTTTGAGTCATGAGTAAAACAATCGAGGACTGATTCAATGTTTTGTCCACTCTCATCTTTCGAGAGCTTTTGAGATCATTTCACTGTCTTCATTTTTAACATACAAAGTTTTTAGACACAGACTCTGCGATGACTTTAAATTAAAATGTAGAGAACGGAAGATTAACAAAGTTAATCTGAAATCAAAATTCACACTGTAGTTTCATTCATTAGAAAAATATATCTCTGTTTTCCTCACTTTTTTGACAATAAAATCAAATGTTTTCATTTGAATAATTTCATTTGAAATATTTACATCTTACGGTCCTCCATGTACCACAGATTTCAGTCATTAACCCTGAAATAATCTGCAGTAGAAACTTAACCAAAGAAATGTGTAGAGGCTGCAGTAACACTTTAAATGTGGTTATTATAACGATATTTAATATGTATGTGCATTCTAATTGGTTCAGGTTATCTTTTCGTGTACATTCTTACCTTTGCACTCCAGTTTGGCGGGGTCGTAGTCCTGTCCTGTCTTGCAGTAACACTCGTAGCTGCCCTCAGTATCCAGACAGAAGCCTCCTTTACACACCTCCTGGCCAAACAGTGTGCATTCATCTGCATCTGTAAAAACAAGCAGAGAGACGGCAGCACATGTTACACAGAGTTAAGTATAAAAGCACATGTTGGGTAACTGTGACATTTACATAGATTTATCTAATCGTTAGCTAATATAGATGTAGCATAAAAAAGATGGCCAGAAGGAAAAAGTATAATTATCATAATAAGGTTTGTAAATCACTTATTTGGTAGGATTTCTTTAGGGCAAAGTGTAGAAAACAATGATACTATTAGTTGTATATGTGAGTGCATAAACATCAATATTGAAAAAGGTTCAAACATTCTTGGTTTTAAATGTGCACAAAGACACAGGAGCAAAACTAGGATGCCAAATGTGTCAAATATTAAGAAAGGAATTGAAGTATAAAAACAGCTGTTTCAAACTTTGACATCATAACTTTACTTTTAGACCACTAAGTTGAAAGGAGTGTGTCCTTTAAGTCTGTACTGTCCAAGATTTACAGTCATAAAGTGTTCTTCTATTACACTCTATGGGTTCAGATGCAGGATCTATTCATGATGTCCAGTCATGTATTAATACCTCTGTCTTACCTTTGTAACTGTCAGATGTGGGTACACCATACAGCAGGTCTTCAGTTGGAATAAAACCTCTTCCTGATGGACACATCTGATTGAACTGGTCTGAAGAGAAAAAAGAGAAGGTGTTGGGCATTAAGTATGTATAGTTCTTCAACACTGTTCTTGATAAAGGCCATGAGAAAATGTTCAAATAAGAGAAATGTGTATAGTAGAGACACTGAGGGGGTCAAACTGTTATTATTCAGGGCACTCATTTATTAATAGTGCAGTATTTATCATTTTGTACTTAAGATGTATGTCATTATAAGCACAGCTCTGACCATGCTTCAATTGACCGCCTGAACTACTGACTCCCGGATCTGACTTGTAGATTGCTCTCTTTTAATGCAAGTGTTTTGTAAATTGTACTTTGTCTCACTTTGTGTCTCTTGTCTGTAACTTTGTATTTTTTGCTGTTGACTGTCTCGGCTAGGTCTCCCTTGAAAAAAAAGGTTCTTAACATCAATGGGACCAACCTGGTTAAATAAAGGTTAAACAATTACAATGGGGAAGGTACAACAAGAAAAAACTAGTGTGTGCACACATGCAGGCAAAATGCATACAGGGGCAGGACAAGAAGTGTACTAACTGTAGAAAAAAAGAAAAAGGGTTGAGGATGATCTTGTCGATCAAAACATTGCCCTTTCTCAGTCATTTTGCTCCTCGGGAGCTGAACGGTGTGAGGACCTTTTTGTCGACAGCAGTGTAACTATAAATAAAAATGATAATCACGGAGCCCTCAGTCCTGTCTCACATGGCCTCGTTCTCCTCCTCTAGCTTACCCGTGCCATTGACAGGACAGGGATGGACTTCGCAGTTGTCCCCCCAGCCGGCTCCCAGCGTGCAGCAGCACTCCTGCAGGGTGACATGGCTGGTCAGCACACTCTCACACAGGTTTTCATCATTCAGACGATAGTAGCACTCCTTACGCTCCACTGAAGATGCTGAAATATGGAGGGAGGAAGACACAGAGAGAAGAATGAAAACAGTTGGGTGGGTGAGGTTCAGAGGGGAGATACATGTGTTCAGATCAGAACATGTCACTCTTATCAACTCGAGGGAAATTTACAGACATTAACATTAAGAACCTAAAATCATTTTGAAGATTATCATCTGTATAAATTCACACACTTGTGTAGATAAATATAATGAAATCACTCATACATCTTGACTCTTCAGGTTCTTTGTTCATTTCTATAATAGTTGAAGGTGAATTACTTGTGGGAACGGGCTCACACTTGGCGATCATGAGGTTATATTCCTGTCCGCTGGGACACATGCACAGGAAGGAACCGTCCACGTTTACACACTGAGCTTCTCCGCACACACTGCTCAGCAGCTCACACTCATTTACATCTGTGGAGAAAGAGAAGAAGAATGTTATTTTAAATTAGGCTGCTTATTAGGCTCTCAAATGGGGAGTGGTACTCTTAAATCTGGGGGTGATATTTCTTTTACATTTTTGGGGTCTGAATGACTGATGTACAAAAATGTAGGAATGAATGAACTTTGCCATGAAATGTACCCTCATATACCATTAGCCATCATGAGAAATGTAGTAAATTCCTTGTACATCATTCATTATATTCAATATGTCTTTTGATGTGTCATTTCCTGTAATTGAAAATTGGCATAGAAAAAGAACATATAGAATTTGATATGAAGTGATTCAAAACATCTTAAAAGTCATATTTCAGGATTTTTTTTTTTCCAAAAATAATGTTACCGTGTGATTTTTATATTTAGGACCCCCACTTTGGAAAAACACTGATCTAGTCAGCAGCCACAAAAAAAGCCTTCCATGGCAACACGGTAACCATTCAAGACAATTAGACCATTTAGATTAAGGACACTAAGAGGACTGATTTTGAGCCAATAGGCTTCCATTTTTATTTAAAAAAAAACTGGGTCAGGTGACGGTAAGGCTTGGTGCAGAGATGCACCATTTTCTTAGGTAAGTGAATTTCTTCAAACCAGGGCCCTCAGTTCATACACACAAATGTGTGCGTAATGAATGTGCAAAAACACAATTTATCCACTTTTACTGAAGATGAGCACATCTCTGACCACGCTAACACATAGAGTGTAGTGGTAGCATAGTGACAAACAGAAAGTATCAGAAGTGTCACAGCATGCATAACATCCATGTATGTTCCAGGTTTCCTTCAGTCATAAACAATCAATTACTGTAGTGACAGAACAGACAAGTTGCCTTATTGGTGTCAGAACCTTTAAAAGACAGCAGTTACAGGCATTTGAAATGTTGAACCATGGCTCATCTGGTCTTACTCAAGGATATGGCAAACCACAGAGCGCTCTGATATGTTTGGTGAGAGCACAGAGCGACTTCTCTTTGCCATTATTAGTCCAGTGGTCCAGGGGTAATAATGGATAAGTGTCTAAAAATGTAAATTCTGGTTGCCATTTTTTGTTTTGGATTTTGAAAATTAAAAAAAAAAATCAGAGAATTGAAAAAGACCAAGTACTTTGAGTTTTCTGTTGTATCTTTCATCACAAGAAGAAGTACACTGATTTACACAAGTCCAGTCTAGTGAGGTGTGTCGTTGCCATACATTGTTAATTGGAGTTGTTTCTGAACACATATGACCCAAAGTGTGCACGAACATGTTGAAAACATGTTACATTACATGTGAAAGGCTGGTCTACCAGGTTCTGTGTGACTTTGATGTTTGTTTGCTTTGTATCATAAAGTGTGAAATATGAGCAACAGGTAGGCATGCTAAGTAGCTAAGTAGCACTGAGCGAGCTGAATAATGTCCGTTGTAAAACAAGTGATACTAATTACAATGAATATGAGTAATTCATCGCCCCCTCAAGGTTTGAAATTCCATATTTTTTATCAATGTTTTAAAGGAGGTGTTCACACATCTCACTCTCTCAAGAAGAAAGAAACTTTGATACACACGTTACACACATAAACACATGACAGAGGTTCAGAGACACTAAAACATGATTTTCTCTAATAAATTTGTGATTTTTCTTAATTTACTTACTAACTTAATGAGAGTTTCAATATAATCTCCCAGTTTAGTAGAATGCAAAGCACAGGGTTAGGGGAGGAGTTTTATTCAAAGTTAATAGTTTTACGGTGGAAATTTGATATTACACTCTTACAGGCATGATGGTAAACCGCAGGAAAAGAAGACAAGATAAAAGGAAGAGGAGGGAGGAAAGCAGAGACATTTGGCTGATAAGAGGAGAGGGATAGATGGAGGGAAAGGAAGACGGAGAGACGACACGCATTCTGAATGGTTAGCGGTTCACCACCACTGCTGGTTTTCAAGGACTGTGTGTGTGTGTGTGTGTGTGTGTGTGTGTGTGTGTGTGTGTGTGTGTGTGTGTGTGTGTGTGTGTAAGTGAGTCCATCTGTGTTCGCCACAGTACAGTGATGGTTTGGCAGTGAAGAGGAGGCAGCTGGCTGGACTAAACTTGGGTGGGACCCAGCACCACTGCCAAAGGACAGATGGGAAGTGTGTGTAATTGTGTAAAAAAGGACACAGTGTGTTGAGGTGTATGGGTCGTTTTGGTACTGTATTTATGCATGTGCGTGTGTATTTTGGTGGAGTTGGTCGGTGGGAAAGTGTTTGTGGGGGAAGCTTTCTATCAAGGTTAGCCGGGGGAAGTCTGCTCTGACGTTCCTTCCTGCAGGAGGAAATTGGACTAGATGGGATCTGCGGGGGCTCATTTAGTCTGGGGAAAAAAACCACCAGCAACATCCAACTCACACATATTCCAAACCAAACCTAAAGGAAACCAACAATGTTTAACATTAGCTCCATGTAGATGAAAGGTCCACAATGCTTGACCATGTTGCTTTAAAGGGTTATCTTAGCGATACCAAAAGGTAACAGGAGGGGTTACACGCTTACAGTTCCAATAATGGAACAGATGAACCAGAAGACTAGAAAACTCCAGATTGTCTGTAGAAAATGTGTGTGTCCACATCTGTTCAAAGGTAAGAAGCTTTGGTGCATTTCAGTGTTAGGTAAAGCTCCAGCTGAGGTTCTCAAAGAAAATAAGGTTGTTCTTATAGGTGAAGCTCTATGACAAATTGGAGGGGCAGAATCATAGGGAAGTGAAGGTAAGCGGCCGATAGGGATCAAACCATCACCAAAGCAAGGGTGCCTGGAAAGAAGCTTTAATAAAACCAAGTTTCTTCCCAGTCTATGTCTGTGTGGTCCCTGTTCAACCCCCTGCAGGGATCCAACACTGCTCAACATTCTATTGAGTCTTCAAACTGCTATGACTTACAAAGCAAAGGCCCCAAAACGGATATTTACTGCACCGTTTCAGCTGATCTCAGTTCATTGCATTGCTCTGTTTGTCCCTATCCTTCTTTCTGCATCTCCCTCTATCCCTTTTTTCAAACCAAAAAGTGCAGTGTCGGCAGATGGCTTTTTAACATGAGTCTGGTTCTCCTCGAGGTTTCTGCCTCTCTTAAAGGAAGTTTTACCTTGCCACTGTAACTTTGCTAAATGTTGTTTAGTGCTCATGGATTAATGTTGGGTGTTTGCAAGTAAAGTAAAGGAAGGTTTATTTATACAGCACTTTTCACAGATAGAGGTCACAAAGTGCTTTACATCAACAAAAAACAACAAAAACAGAAACAAAGGAGTACTTCATGGACCGACATTATGAAATCCTGCTATGACCAGAAACCAATTGGCACAGTAAAGCATAGATCAACAGGTAGATTGGGTGGACCTGATTACCCATAGGCCTGTCTAAACATCAACATTTTTAGTTTTTTAAAAGACTCAACAGAGTCAAGCCGTTTTCACATCTGCACTCCGGATAATATCTAGATAATTACTGGAGGAACGCTCCGGAGATTCTCTTAACCTAGTCGTTCACATATGCTCCTCACAGCGGGGGACTTTCCCTGTCAGAGGGGAGGGGGGGACTATCCCTGATAAAGGGGAGGGGGCGCGGGGGATTTCCTGAGGTAAGACGTGACGTAAATAAACAACGTGGAAGTAGCGGCCAACGCAACAGAGTCCACTACACAACGTTATAATGAGAATATTTGTCTTTATATCAATGCTATGTGTAATCCAATGGAATGACAACATCCACTAAAGAGAGGAGAACAACATACTGACGAACAGAAAACAGAATGAAGATGTTCAATTAGAGCACGGAGATCGTAGTGGTCGCGTACAGACACTTTAGACAGTCACTATATAAACGTCATTCTCTTTCTATTGGCTCAAATTGAAATCTCCAGAGTATATGCTGCCGCGTTCAGACATCAGCTCACTCAGATATTCTGTGGATAAAATACTAGGGGTCTGGAGGAGAAACTCCAGGTAAAGTCCGCGCGAAAAATGTGTCTGTTTGCGTTCACACATAGAAGAACCTCCGGGTAGACTAATCTCCAGAGTTTTTCAGGAGATTTCTGTATGTGTGAAAAGGGTTTCAGAAAGACGTAGTGACATGTGCTTTGGCCTCAAATGCACGATCACTACGAGTGATGAGTCTGCGGGACAGACAGCAGGTGTAGGATGTTTGACTTCAGTGAACCGGGGGGGGGATGAGATGAGATTACGGGATGAGATGATATATCAAAGAGTAAAGTCTTTTACCTGCTCTTTTTCTAAAGTGTCTTGACTTAACAGTTGTGAATTGGCTCTATACAAATAAAGATTGATTGAATGTGTCATTGTCTTATTATCTCTTCTGCGAGGTCTTCTACACAGAATTAATGGAAGGTTTTGGTTGGGCCATCCAAGTTGTTAAAGTAAGGTAGAAAAGAAACATTAAAAAGCACAGCAGGGTAACCCTCAAACCCTTGGAAGCAAGTGATTTGAAGTTGACATTTCATATGTTAATGCACAATCATGTACTAAATATAAAGTCTCTTTTTTGTCACAACCAATCGGATTAAGGATTTAAAATAGCTTAATGCTGATTCTGTGTCTTGGCAGGTGTTTAGGTGTTGCCATTTTTCCTGTGCATCTCAAAGTTCCACATACCTAACCTACTCTGATGTGTAACTCTCCCTTTAAGTCGTGCTGCTGCTTTTAGTTGCCACAAACTTTATACAAACTTTACAGCGGACATTGGTTTCCTTGAGGTCCAAGTCTGCAAAACCCAAACCACTTCCAGATGACTGAGGAGCCTTTTTTTGGGAACAAACTCCTCACTTTTATTAGCACCACCACATACCAAGAAGCAGACACTTTACCTGAGTCTGAAGAGAACTCTCGAGTTTCTAATAACTATGGGACATCAGGGAGGTTACAAGCTCTGTACCACAAGACCACTTACCCACACAACCTCGGCCATCCTGGGACTCCTGGTAACCCTGGTCACAGAGACATTGGAAAGAGCCCAGTCTGTTCTCACAGAAGCCGTGAGGGCCACACAGAGTCTCATTAAGTCCACACTCATCAATATCTGGAGGGGGAAACGACAAGATCAGGAAATGACAAATAATACATTGAACTTTAATGATGTGTTCAGCCTTTTCAAACATAACTGCATTGTTGACAATGTCATTGCAAAACGCTAATGCATCTGCAAATGAAATGATCGTCATTTTTTTGCACATTGAAATAGGCATGCCCACACTCTCAGTAAAACACACAATCTGTCCTGTGTTTTCCTTTATTTCCTTTCAGACAGATTAAGGAAGTGACATGAAGGGTGAAAATTGAATGCAGTGGATTAAACAGAATACTGACAGCTTGTGCAAATACAGCAGATTGTGCAAAAATGTTTTAAATAAGTCATGCATTAGCTGCTTTGATAAAGGTAGACATTCTGCACACACACAGACACACACACACAGACACACACACACACACACACACACACACACACAGACACACACAGACACACACACACACACACAGACACACACACACACACACACACACACACACACACACACACAGACACACACACACACACACACACACACACAGACACACACACACACACACACACACACACACAGACACACAAACACACAGACACACACACACACACACAGACACACAACACACAGACACACACACACACACACACACACACACACACACACACACACACACACACACACACACACACACACACAGACACACAAACACAGACACACACACACACACACACACACACACACACACACACACACACACACACACACAGTTGGGACAGAGCCCCCTGCATAAATCACGAGGCAGAGAGCAACAAATATCCCTCCTTGTCTAGACAGCCAGCTCAAAGGCTTCCGTCTGTTTCTTTTCTCTTAATTTTTTCCTTCCTTCCTCTTCTGCACATTTCTGTTTTTGGTAATATTTTCAAACTCTTCAGCTTTTTTATTTTTTTCTAAATGCTGTGCATGTGTTGTCAAATTGGAGAAGAACTATTTTCCTACATTGAACATGTTGTCTCCATTTGTATATTTTCTTCAGTCCCAGTGTGGTGATCTCACAGGGCAACAAAAACAAACTAAACTAAACAAGAGGCTACATTTCCACTGGGAAGTGGCCTTTGACTTGAACAGCGCTCTTCTGACCACTCAAAGCTGCTTTTACACTACCTGTCACATTCACACTGCTCAACTGCTCATTAGCACTGATCCATTCATGCAATCGAGCACATCGACATGTGGCTGCAGGAGCAGGGGATCAAACCCCCAACCTTCCGGTTAAGAGAGGACTGACTATACCATTGAGCCTCAGCTGCCCAGAAGAGAGACACGGTAGGATGGGAAATAACAGAATTCAAAAAAGGAAAGTAAAATGATTGGATTGAACAAACTAAAATAAAAAATAAAAAATACATAGACCAAGAACACATAGTTCAATTACAATGATGCTATGAAGTCGTCAGGAATTCCCCACACAGCTGATGTGTTTGTACTGTAGGACAAGATCATCATTATGAATGTGTGTCTTAAGTTTCAGGTTACAATACAAAATAAATAATTAAAAAAATGTTTTCCGACTCGTCAAAACTCAAAAATGTTTTATTCTCTTCTAAAAAGTCACAACAGAGGCAAAGGGAAAAGCGAGTCATTTGAGGTGCTTCATCATTGAGATAACAGTGCTGCTTCATTTTAGTTTGTTGTAACATTTAATTATTGAGACGACACTGTTTGTTTTCAGAACGTGATGTCATTTAGAAAATATGCATATTTTTCAGCATGCAGTATTTATATGTTGAGATAACAGAACACATTCTCAGGATGCCATTTCATTATGATAACAAGACACATTCTCAGTTATCACTCATTTTTGAGGAGATGTTTACGAAGAAGAAATATTCATTTACAATAGTTATCACTACATACAGTAAGTAAAGGGTAATGCTATTGACAACAAAATAGTGCACTTTTTCTGGTTTGGATTTTGCTATTATTGAGATAATGATACATTTTTTAGTCTGTCGGTTGATTTCATTGTCTTCTGAACAATAGAAATAGTTGCCATGCAGTTTTTTTTAAGGTTTTTTGGGGGACTTTTTATGCCTTGATTAGACAGACAGGAGAGAGAAAGGAGTTACATGTGGTAATGGAGCCACAGGTTGGATTCAAACCTGGGCTGCCCGCTTTGGAAGACTTTAGCCTCTACATGGGGCACGCCGCGCACACAATCCACAATGCCAGTGTCGTCCCCAGTAGCCATATTTTAAGGAGATTTTTGCTTCTAGGTTAGGAACCAAAATGCCTGCAGCTGTGAATAACTCAACAGTATAAAAATATTTGAGGTCTCTCAAATATACGAGAGATGTTTCATGTTTTCATGACACTTTTTGAAAATGAATTGTTCCCTCCTCATAATCCAGAGGAAGAGTTGACATGATGTGTATGATAGAAAAGTGGTCAAGAAATATTGCTTCTTTCACAGCACTGTGGAGCATTAGATGAAAATGGATCTCTTTATATGCTTCACAGTATGTGTGTACCTGTGCATGTGTGCATGTGTGTGTGTGTGTGTGTGCGTGTGCGTGTGCGTGTGTGTGTGTGTGTGTGTGTGTGTGTGTGTGTGTGTGTGTGTGTGTGTGTGTGTGTGTGTGTGGGGGGGGGGTTCTTTTTTTATTGTAGTAGCATCTTACCATCACAGGAGGGCGTGTCGAGGCTGGCGGTGAATCCAATCAAACACACACACAGATAGGATCCCTCTGTGTTGTGACACACGCCGTGGGGGAACAGAGCTCTTGTTCATCCAAACACTCGTCAACATCTGGGAGGACAGAGACAGAAAAACTCTTAATCCGGGATCAGAAATACGCCTGGTGTTGAAAGGATGCGACCCGACTCCAGCTCCCTACCACTGCAGCTGGTGCCATTGATCTGTCTGTATCCAGAGGGGCAGGTACAGGTGTAAGAGCCAACGTTGTTTACACACTCCCCTTCAGCTGCACAGGGCCGGGCTTCTTCTACACACTCATCCACATCTGGACACACACACACACACACACACACACACACACACACACACACACACACACACACACACACACACACACACACACACACACACACACACACACACACATGTCAGTCCAGTCAGAGGAGGGCATTCAGGTAAAACAGACAAAATGAAAAGCCAAATTTGAAATGTGAATTTCTAAATGTGAATAATATGATATTAATGACAAACAGAATTTAGTATCTCTAAAAAGAACAAATGTATACATAGGTATTTTGATCATACATTAAAAACATGATGGTTCATCACTGAGTGCAAACGGTTGATTAGTGGGTTTTTTGAGGGGGTTGTCAGGAAAACAGGGTTTATAATTATATCAACATAAATCGTCCAGTTTTGATCTTTCAAGTGACACCATGAAAAACCACTGGTTCAATAAACTGTTCTAAGGCATGACAATTCACCATTTGATGGAAAGCTTTATCAATCAATCAATCAATCAACCTTTCTCATTGTTATGTTACAAAAAGCAGGTAAAAGACCTTACTCATTGTTATGTTACAAAAAGCAGGTAAAAGACCTTACTCATTGTTATGTTACAAAGACCCGGCCTATCCATCATGAGCACTTAAGCAAAAGCAGCAAAAGTTACAGTGGTAAGAAAAAACTGCCTTATTAAAAGCCAAGCCTGGAAAGGGATAGGGTCTCCCCCTATATGGGATGAAATGGTTTATGGATAAGCAGTTGGAAAATGGAAATACTATTTGAAATGCAAACAAAAAAGACAAATTCAATGTTTTGGATATTTTGATAGATATAAGTTTATGAAGGCAAAGCAGCAAAAAAGGTTTAAAGGAATTTATACTCCTACATTTGAGATTAGAACCTGTTCTATACTAACTGATACATTTCGTTTCTCTATGTAGTCTGTAAAGGGTTTTTTTCTTAACAAAGAAACTTTATTATTTAAGGTGGCTGTGGCCCAGTTGGTAGAGTCCATAGTCTCTTAACCAGAAGGTTGTTGGTTCAATCCCCAGCTCCTGCAGCCACATGTCCGATCTGTCCTCAGACAAGTAATCTTAATGTCTGTGAAAGTTTGTATCATCCAGGTCATGGGGATTCAAAGCTTGATCCATAAGGTAGGTAGACTTTGTTAAAGGTCTTGAAGATGTTTCGGAGAAGGGATGAAACGTCTTCAAGACCTTTAACCAAGTCCAGTTACCTTGTGCCCAGGCTTTGAATGTTGTTGGTACAATGGTTGTGCTATGATTGCTTTTATTGTTGTTGTCTTTCACACGTGTATAAAAAGCGTGAAGTCAAATATATCATACCATCACAGTTGTCTCCTGCTGGTGACACTCTGAATCCTGGCCCACAGTGACAGATAAAGGAGCCCTCAGTATTCTGGCAGTGGCCTCTAGTACACACGCTCTGGTTCTGGCACTCATCTATATCTGAAACAACACAATAAAACAACTACATCACACACAAAGCAGGCGTGTGTCTGACTGTCAATGTACTCTTTAAACAGTAGACAAACAACGGGCTGAATACACTAAATAGCTCTCAAGGTTAATTGCTTTAAGGAGCATTTGTAAACAATAATAAACACGCTGCTTGTACAACAGTTTGACTGAGACGTCTCCTCACGGCCTGTGATTCATCACAGTGTTGAGAGCTGATCTCATTAATGCTGGAGGGCTTAACATTCAGGTAAACACAGGCACTGTAATCGGAGTGGCAGTAATTGGTCGGTGTAATATTGATAAATAATGGTAGCATTGAGTGGCATGTAATAATTGAAATTTGACTTGGTTTCTGTAGCAACAAAATGAACTGATTAGTAAGTGTTGTTTTACCTTATTTGTTGATCAAGAGTGTAACAAGCAAAAACAAAGAAGTCCATTCATGACAACCCTGCCAAGACCTAATGCATGTTTATGAGGCAACAAGTCCTTTTATTACACAGTTTTTATTTATAGGCATACATTCATTCTGACTATGAGTGACACTGATGGTTTACAGCAAAAGCGCAAGATCACTCAAACACTTGATAAGTTTTTGGAAATCCATTTATTTATTTAAATTGTGAGAATAATACACCATAGATGAGAAAAACGTTAATATAAATACTTTGCCACTGCAATTAAGTAGAGTTTCAAAAACTGATTTTAAACTCTAGTTTAACGAATGCCACAAGTTTAACCTCCTTTTGATGCTCAAAAAGTAAAATGAAAACATAAAATTTACCGAAAGATCATTATACCCCTGCTTGTCATGAATATTCTTCAAACTGTTTTGTATTTCACAGTTATTTCTTGACTGAATAGTTAAGTGTAGTCCTCACAGAACGAGGTATCAAGGTACTGATTGGTTTGAGTACGTATTGTACGTACACACACACACACACACACACACACACACACACACACACACACACACACACACACACACACACACACACACACACACACACACACACACACACACACACACAGGCACACGGTCTAGGAGATGTGACATGCCCTGTGCTTGGCAGTGTCATTCTAACATCTGTGAGCTGGGTTAAAAACGTCTTTAAAAGGACTCCGTTGCATGGACTAATTATTTCCTCTCAGCACCACAACCAATCATTGCCACCCCGCTGTGGTTTGGCTTGCCCTGTATGGAGCGAAAGCTGTCCAAACCTCACAGCTAACCCTGTGTCACATGGGACACATGAGCAGCAGACCACTGAAAGACGATAAATGGGCACACCTTTCATTTCCAGGAAAACGTTGGCTTAATATTGTGTGTTTTCTGGAACGTTTCACTAGTTTCATTGCTTGATTGGTGTTGTATCTTATCCCATATGTGATTGCTGGGCTGATTTCTCTACATATCGATGACTAGATATTACGCACTATGAAGCTAGGATGTCATCTAACTGTTCCAAGAAAGATTAATTTAATTAAAAGTCCAAATAACTGAGATTAGAGAACGCTTTTATTTGAGGTACTACTAAAACAGTGACTGAGTTTCAAGTACGTTTAGTGTCTGCTGTATTTTGGGGCAAAAGTTGAAGCATGTGTACAAGGGATGTATACTGTATGTTTTTGTGTGTATCGGTGTGTATGTGACTTCTGGAGCTTTAGTTGACAGCCTCAAGTGGACACTGGAGGAACTGCAGCTTTTTGCACTGCAGAATTGTCCTCCTTTCAAACTAAATTACTTTTACAATCAAATATGAATGTATGCAGGGCGTGCTGGTGGCGCAGTGGCAGGGCGTGCATCCCATGTGTTGAGACTCTCATCTCAAGCAGTAGGCCCGGGTTCACTTCCACCCGTGGCCCCTTTCCGCATGTCATTCCCTGCTCTCTCTCCCTGGTTTCCGATTCTATCCACTGTCCTCTCTCTGAATTAAAGGCACGAAAAAGCCCAAAATAAATCTTTAAAAAAAAAATATGAATGTACAGTATGTATTTTAGGCTATCTTCCTGAAAAAGAAAAAAAAGAAAAATAGAAAATATGTCTGAAGTGTCTGTGATAGACATCGAAATATGGTTTGAGCACAATTTGTTTTTTTATAAAAGGGGCCCTTCATCAACCTAAGCACCTTAAAGATGACTTTTATTTAGAAACTTTTAATAAGAAAAATCAAAACAGAGTTCTTCCTGGGTTTTCATTATTGATTGCCCTAATCTAAATGTCCAACTTGTTTACTTTAATGTCTTTATTGTCTTTGGTCATCAATTTAAAAAAAATGTATTTTTCAGACTTACCACTTCTAGATGATGAACGCTGCTTGTTTTTTGGCAAAAGGTTGTGGCGTTCATTTACTTCAATATTCTTGCATTCATTCGTTGAAATTAAAAAAAAAGCATGAGTGTTTCAGTAAAGTTTAGACGTACCTTCACACAGGTTTCCCTGTGCCAAGAAGCCATCAGGACAGAAGTGACAGTAATAGCTGCCGGGCATGTTGTAGCACAAACCATTGGGACACAGCGTATCGTCTTCACACTCATTAATATCTTTAAAGAAAAAAATACAAAAGAGGTCATGTATAATCCTATCACACATACGCTCTAACACATACTGTGGAACGCAATACATTTCAACCCTCAAAGCGAACGCAATTGTTGTTTCCTGCACTGTGCATTGGCATTCATCCTTTATAATCTAAGTTCTTTACCTTGATATTATAGCACAACTGAAGGGTTGTGCAGAAGGGTTCACAAGTCTATTAAATGTAGTAGGTTGACTGCACCACAGAGTAATGAGCATCTTTAAGAATTCCAAAATATGTCTGATCGCCTACTCCCATAGTAACCTCTCAAAGAACTCATGATCTGATCAGTCATCCTCCACAGATTTTTATTGCAGCTCTGAGGAAATAACCATCTGGCCTATTTGCCCTCACAGCCCCAATTCAGTATCATTTCAGTGGGTGGGGAGAGCTGTGTTGAAATGGCAGGAAACCACGTAATGACAGGGTGCTTCATATTTATATCCCAATAAGTGGGATGAAGCAGGGAGGAGGGTGGTGCAGACGCTAGTAACAGTGTGGTCACCGGTTGTGTCCAAAATTCCACTGACTTATAATTCTATTAGTATGCACTTGTTAGTGTGCGGAGCTTATGTTTGACCAAGTGTTGACCAGTGCCAGAGGGTGTGGTTGTGCATAACATGCATAGTGTCTTAAGATTGATGGTGCATTTTATTTAGACATGAAATGTGCTCGTGTGTGTGTTGGTGCATTTCTAACACCATCAATCTGTCCCTTCAGCAATCACGTTCAAAATGGCACAGCGTCTTGACCACCTAATTGTTCAGGAATGTGCAAGATGACTCATCAGATTTTGTTCTGTTGGGCCAGCCCGTTCTCACTCGCAGTTTGTCAAACACAGTGGCATGGCTTATTTGTTAGTGGTAATTTGACTGCACATAAGACCTTCACATGCTAAAGTGATGTTACAGTCATATTTTGAAGCATATGGCTGCCGTATATGGAAAGGTGGGACGAGGAACATCTTGGTTAGGCACTACTGTGGAATCAGAATTTCTATTTTATCAACACTCAGGTTATGTTGCAAAATAAAAGCCCTATTTGATTAATTCACTGGGGATGTACATGTCCAGATTCTTAGTATTTTTGGTGACCACATACCCTCCCATGAAGAGCCCTCAGGAGGCTTAAATTTTCCTGCAAATTCCAAGGTGAAGTTCTGTTTTTTGAAGTGATGCTGTATGAAGTAATTATCTAAACTCAGCATATTAACCTACAGTACATTGTAGATGGCATGGCCTCTGTTTAAACAGGCTGGCAAAGAGGATGATGGGGAATATACTAACTACTGGTTAGAGTAAAGTGGTGTTGTACCTTATGTAACCACACTGAATGAATACACTGAATGAATAAACCTGCATGCCTTGAACCCTTTCTATTTACAATAAGTCTATTTTCTTTTGTAAAACAATATTAGGCAGTCTTTTTTTTGGTTCAGGACTCATTGCATCAGAATGTATTTCATAAAATGCCTAAAAATATGTTTGGCAGAATGCATTGTCACTTCTTACCTTCACAAGTGATTCCCCTTTCATCGAGGCGGAGTCCCAGCTGACACACACACAGGTAACTCCCCTCTGTATTTGAACAGATACCGCTATTGCATGGCAGTTGCAAACACTCATTTTCATCTGGACATACACACACACACACACACACACACACACACACACCACACACACACACACACACAGAACATCTGTTTAGACATCAGTAGCTGTAGATATACACATCCATATTTGTTATGTCAAAATAAAACTATTTGTCATGCAGATAGTGCTGGTTGTCTGAAATGTTACTTTGGGGCAAAAAATACAATATTTTCAATTCGGGAACAAATTTCTTCCATTAACATGTGCTGACTGAGAGCAAACACAAAGAAGTTTTTAAGCCCCCTAGAGTTTCAGCATTTGTGGGGGTTAAGTGAATGTGCACTACTTTCCCTCTGTGGCCAGGAAACTTTATGCAGCAGTTTGTTCTGCCCTCTGAGTCTGCCATCTAACCGAAAATGCAAGAAAGCCCAAGCCACATCCCCTTCCAGAGAGGGGGTGTGGTCAGATGCAGCTCATTTACATATTTAAAGCTATAGACACAGAAACAGCCTGTTCTGAGCAGGGCTGAAATAGAGGGGTTTATAACAAATGATCAGAGTCGATTTTTGACAAGAAACTTCATAAACATGTTTTGGGGAGCTCTGAGTCTTATTTAAACTGGTTGAAAAGGAGAATAACATGTGACCTTAAAAGCCTAATGGCTGGGCTTGTTACCTGTACACAAACTTAAACTTTTAAACTTCGAATTTGCGGTCTAAATGATATTTATTTTAAACAACAGAATCCAGTGCAAGAGATTTAGCTTACATTGATGAACTGCTTGTCTAGAAGTGTAGTGTTTCTCACCAATTAATGAAATCATTTTCAAATCAATCATTTGTGTTAAATAAGCAAAAGCATTGAATATACAGGTTGATGTCCAGCAGGTAGGCAGTGGCAAAAAACACAGATTTCTGACAAGGTGATGAAGGTACGCTGGCAGATCTCTCCATACATCCTTACACTGTGCACTGCATACAAAGCTTGTTAAAAGTAAAGCCAACTTGCTGACATGAATATACACAAGATAACTTTTGACCAGTGGACTCCTCACCTACACAGGTAGTATTGGCGTCATCTAGGCGGTATCCTTCATAGCAGTGGCAGGTGTATCCCCCAGCTGTGTTGTAACAAATCCCCTGGCCACAAATATAAGGGTTGACCTGGCACTCATCCACCTCTGGGCCAGAGGAGAGAGAGAGAGAGAGAGAGAGAGAGAGAGAGAGAGAGAGAGAGAGAGAGAGAGAGAGAGATGGGGGTATTAATACAGCAGCAGGATGAGAACTAATAATGGGTCCTAAATTACTAAGGAGACCCAGACGGAAGCACAACATGCCGTTGCCACAAGTTAACTGCTGATATAAAAGAACCACAAGTTCCTGATGTTAACCACAAAGTAAGCTGACACAACTTACTGCAGGGAGGTTTATTACATGGGGATTTTTTTCTACATTTTAAATGATTCAAAAGATTGATTAACACATTTAACATTGAATTTCAACCCAACAAACCAGTTTCCACAGTGTCTCAAAAAGACAGTCTCCAAGCTCAATAACTCATCTTTTCCTTGAGTCATTTTTAAATTAAACAGGTTCCAAGCTTTAATATTAACTCAATCCACCTTGAGATACGTGCTCTTGTCCACTTCTGCTTCTGCTGTTTTACTCTTAGACTTGGACAAATCAGCACACTTTTGACAACCTGAGCTTTCAGGGCAAATTTGAATCTTTATCTAAAGGCGACTGGACTGGTTGAAGATCTTGAAGACATTTCACCTCTCCTCCGAAAGGTTTCTTCAGTTCTAAATTATCTGATGGACAGAGCTAGAAATGTAACATTTTTGCCTCATTCCTTTAAATAAACTCTGAATAATCAAGCTACTTAACTCGCGTATTAACAAGATAGAATGGCCACCTAACAACTATGTTTTGGCACACTGGTATACTAGCTGTTAACGGTAGTTTGATGAAACTTACATCACCACTTTGTTTATAAGAATACACAGTTGAATTTTACTGAGCTTCTTCAATGTGATTATGTCTTTATTTGAGATCAATTAAAGGAAGAATGTGCGACTTTTTGATCCAGTAGATGTCGCCCTTGAGCACCAGCATGAATCCAAAACAAACTGCTGTTTGGCGACACCTCCTCCATACTGAAGCCTCCGCTCTCCTACAGTGACACACCTCCACCCCCTCTCCACTCGCGTTCACATGAAGGAGTTATGAATTATAAAGCACCATAATTAAGCTCCATTAAGTGCAAGTGGTGAACAAAATTATCCTTTGCTCAGGCTGCAATTGCCTGTAGCCTGCATTGTTGTGTAAGCATGCTAATGTTAGCACACTTTGGTTAACTCATAGCTTCACATTGCATATAAATTGACATAGAATGACCGAGATCTAAAGACACTTAGGTGACATCCAAATAATTAGCAAGTATGTTATTCTTCCTTTCTCTAGTCCTTGACTAAAACAGCTTTATACTCAAGGCCGTCCTGTCCATGTAAACATGATGTAAACACGGCTCTGATAACAGTACAGCCGGCAGGACTCAAGCCTCTCACTCATTGTAGACGGTCATGAGTCAGAGAGATATTTACAGACAATATACTTGATTTCGGCTGTTTATGTGTAAAATGTTGCTCATTCTACCTTTAATATTGAACTGAGGAAACTCATTTGTAATTACAAATATCTAGAGTTTTCCTTACAATTTGATGTGCCAAGACAATCTCTGTAGGAAGTCACAAATGCTTAAGAACCTTGACCTTTGGATGAAGGAGCAGTTGGCTCCATTCGGGTATCTGAGCTCCTGAGTGCAACCAGCCTGAAACTCGAGGAAATCTCATGTTGTCAGTTTCTATCTGTGTTCTCATCCTTTCGGACAGTACTCAAAGTTTGTTAGCATGTTTATACATCGCTCTTATAGTACGGGCTTTGCCTTCTGGCTGAGTTCCAACTGTAATGCAAGGGTTAACAAGGTCAACATCAGGTCCCAAGGTAAACATTTGCATGTTTTTTTTTTTATCTATGTGACTTGTAAATACTCACTTTCAGAATTCAAGACACACAAAGAACAAAGTATTTGTTCAGTTCAAAATGTGTCGGCTGTAAGTCACCTCTTCTTCACTTCAATCAAACCCTCAGAATAGACAAGTATGGGCTGCTGCAAATAATACAAACATGTAAGAATGTTTTAGTCTTACCAGCTGATATGGTGGGAGCGATGTCCTGGCCGGCATTAGATGGAAGGATTTCCACCGGTGCAGGAGGAGAAGTCCTCTCAATGACCTCTAACAAATCAAAAAACACAAAGACATAGACATTGATTTAGTTTATTATATTTATTTGACTTACACATTTGTTCCAGTAAATATTGTACTATGATTCAATTTATCTCAAAGAATGCAGTTTACCATATTTAAGGTTGAATTAAACCACAGAATGCATTTCATGCATTTCCCCTAAAAACAATTTCTGGCCAGCAAGATTCTGTGGCAATATAGTGAGTAAATAGATACCTTGCTCTATATACAGAAAAAACTTTGTACCAAGACACAGCTGAGAGCCAGTTGGCTGTATTGAGAACATGGAAAAAGGTTTAAGGAATTTATTAAATGCAATCTCGCTGATAATGGCATGTCAGAGAACGACTGGACTCCTTCAACTGCGAGGAAGGCAAAAAAAATGTAAAGTACGGAGGTCTTTTTAGAACATCAGACTAATGTTGTTAGCAGCAGATTCAGCTCTACTTTTAGCAGTCTGCGCTGCTCTTTGTCATTTTCTGCTGCAGTTTTCGAACTCTCAGCGATCCTTCAGGCATAATATAAGCATGCATCACTTTTTTCTCACACATTTAGGCAAAAATTTGGAGTTAGCTAATGTTAGCATTATAACTTTAGCACAACTGCAAACTGTACATTAAAACTATAGTTCAACTACAGTAAAGCTGTCGTACACAAAGTGCCCTGAGTTCGACAAGCTGTGTTTCTAAGTCCTATTCTGTTACCACAGAGGTTAAAGGGTAGTGAAGCAGGCACCTGGATAGGCTGCCTCGATCCTGACAGTGGATACGCCCGGAGATAGCTGTGGCTGAATGGGTTCAACAACTGGCCTATCACTAACCACAGGCACTACCAGCTCCTTTAATGACAGGATACACACAATAATAAAAAGGGACAAGGTCAACAACCATATGCATTTATTTCAGTGGAAATGTCTCTATCAAAGCTTTGGACGCTGCTTCTGTCATGCAATACAGATGTTGTGCTGTGAATCAGATTAGCATTCAGCTCGTATAGCAACTGACTGCAGTTTAAAAAGAAAAGAATGAACAGCTCAGCGAGCAAGCCATGAAGCAAAAAATAAATGCCACTTCTGCATTGACTTTCTTCTTTTTTTGGGGGGGTGTGGGGGGGTCAGTAAAGGACTTGGGTCTATTTTTGGTACAAATACCAATACACATACACATAACAGATTTACACATTGATGCACTGCTCAGTGCTGACCAGCTCAAAGTCATGCAGCTATGTTGCTGACTTCATGCAAAGAGGATTCTGCAACTCCTCAGCAAAAGTAATGTCTGAGCATGCAAGCTGCTTCTACATTGTTCACTCTTGAAAGTGCCCAACCTACCTGATCTGGTGCAGTTGTTGCTACTGACCCACAGAAAAAAGAAACAAACATTTGAAATACAAGGCTGTAAAATAATATACTGCATGTGACTATATCTGATGTTTTATCATTTATATCAACATGGGAAGACAATATAACAGTAACAACTATCTGGATAACTCCTAATAACAGCAACTCAAACTAAGAAATAATCATGACCTCTCTGAGACAGTGTGAATATGAACATTACTTGGGGGAGGAGTTATCTATTGTGTTGATTTTGCATAAATAAAATGTAAATGTGCTACAGAGCACAGGGTTCCCTCTGTGCTGGTGCTATATGTGCATATTTCTATGAGCAATGAGCCCTTTCTATGCAAATGACCCTCATTTCAAAACTCTGTCTAACTCACAAACAACAGCGCTAACAGCCACACACAGTTAGAATGAAAATGTTACTGTCTGCTCCGAGTAGGTGGTAAATGAGCAACAGTTTTCATTAGGGGTTTCACACACATCTTTCCACTGCTATTCCACCTCTGTATGATAAAAAAAAGATCTATAAACTAAGTCTTTAAATATTATTTTGACATACAATTATTAAATCGGTCCAAGGTTGCCAGGGGCTCAACCCCAGCACACACTTGGTCCACATGTGTGGAGACGGTCTTTTCTGTAAGAGCTGCTCTCTCTCTGGCTTATCACAGGGAGGACGCTTATAAATGTTAAAAGTTGTATCACATCTGTGAAGACTTGACTCAACAAAAAGTGTCCCCTCCTCGTCCAGCTCATCATGCGGACAGAAACGAGGAGATGGTGACGACTCAACTCCTCCATCCGACTCAAAACAAGAGTAATCTTTTTGAGGATGTATACTGTATACTTCATGACACTATAAAAGAAAAGTATCTTAATTGAGACATATCATAGGTCTCCTACCTACCTAGCATGCTAAGTTAAAGTTGGAAAGGCCAATTAGTACACTGGCTTGTCAGAGCAGTTCATTCTGCAACCATACTTTAACTGCTCATGTTTTCAGCTTACATGTTTGTTAGACATTATAACAGGACAGTTTGCAAAAGTAAAAAAAAATGTATCTACAAGTTAAAGTGATCACAAGAAAAGCCCCTCCTTCTCTGGTCATCCATAAACATTAAATGAAAACCTAACAAAACGTGATTTTCTACAATAAATCTCCGCTATGTGAAACACGTAATGCACTAACTCCCAACCTTTGTTTGAACGATGCATTTGAATTTTATTATCCACAGAGTCGTTTTGTGTTGTTAACAGTTCATAAATATTTAAAACTACATAAAAAAATACTCCTCACTTCCCCCAACCAAGCATGGTTCCGGTGTCAAATTGCAGATCTTCACGCTGCCAGCCGTCACATTACTATCTGGTCGTCTCCAAACACTAATCAATTTGGGGAAGTGGATTTCTTTTCTTCTTTTTTTTTATGTTCTGTCCTCTCTGCCTGGAAAAGTCTGTCTGTACTCCTTTGCTCCAGAGGACCTCAGCGGTAATTTGGACCAGAGGTCTTGCTTTGGCTAAAATGTTACAAAGTCTCTCCTTCCCTTTGTGGCTACCAAGCATGTCCCAAATAACAACCCGGGGGGAGGTGAAGCTCTTCTCCCTCTCTCAGCCATGTTTGTCTCTCCCTGTCTTTGCCTCCTCTAAAAGGCAGTGTGTTGGGCCATGTTTGAAAGGCGTGAGGTGAAACAAAGCACTCCAGTATTCTCCACAAGTAAATACCATGTATGACTCTGTTGATTTGATGTCTGTAACAGCAGCGAGAGATGCATCAATTGCAATTTCTTTGGCCAAATCTGCTTTCCAATTTTTTTTTCATAGCCCCTGGAAACCTGACTTGAAATATTAAAATCTGTATGTGAAAATTGAAGGTTTCATTAAGCATCAACAAAACTCTGAGTGAAAATAAACATTCACAACTATGACAAAAAAAAAACTATTTTTGGTAGAGACTTACCTGGTATGATCTCTTCTGGTTTCCCAAAAGCTGCCACTGGTCTCTCTGGTGTTGGCAGGGGCTGGGGAGGAGGTGGCAGGTCAATGGGCTCCTGGTAAACGGGGACTTGCTTATGGACAGGTGGATTTGGTAGAACTGTGTAGCCCATTCCACCAGGACAGATCTCTTTGAACTTAGCTACATGACAAAACACAAGTGAATATCATACAAGTGGAAAAAAAGAGGTTCATGTACACTATACATCTTTTTAAAGATTTATTTATTTTATGCCTTTATCTTAGATATAGGATAGTACATAGAGCCAAAAACAAGGGACAGAGAGATTGGGGAACGACATGCATGAAATGAGCCACAGGTCGTATTCGAACCCGGGCTGCCCGCTTGGAGGACTACAGCCTCAGTACATGGGGCGCACACACTAACCACTAGGCTACCAATGGCCCACTTTACATTTCTAAATGTTAATATTAAAACTTCATCTATTATGAGGGCATGTGTTGTGACACTTTCCCCTTTTAAAGTGTATTTTAGTTTTTCAATAGCATATTTGAGGTTTTCAGGTATTATTGCCTCGAGGTATTATCTTGACTCCAGTTTTACACAACTGCTAAAACTGATAAACTCATAATGTAATGAAACAGGAAGCCAAATGCCTATTTACACAGTGCTGGGGTGGATTCCCTTTCACTATCCACTTTACCTTAACCCTGTGAAAACGTCATGAGGTTAAGGAAAGATGTTAGGAGAATTCATAAAGGACTTAGGGAAAGGCGATCGCGTTGCTCTGACAATCCGACCACATTTCCACTAGGTGACGATTATCGCTGTAAAGTAGGGCTTTAAATGTAGCGGCCGCAAGGAATTGTGGTGCGGCATTATCTCATCTCCTTTGGTAAAGGATGGTCCAGTGTATCCTAAGCTAAAGGAGGTCATAAAGGAAGCATTGACCCACCTTTCCTTTGCTTTTAGAGAATTCAAACCGCTCTTATCATGGCCGCCACTTAAATGCTTCCGGGTCATTTCGCTCAGTTAGGAACCTTCCGAAGCAAAATAGGAAATTTGAATGCACCCCTAGTAGCTGTCTCTCAATTGTTTGACACCAGATGACGCTCTCAGCTGGTGCCTCGAAAACTGTTTGTGTGCAAAGGTGCCATTCTTTCCCAATGTATTTATGCTCAGCCCCTTTAAATTACGTTTGAAGAATCATAACAACTGTTTTGGTCTGCACACAGACATGCCACTTGTTTAATACGTTTAGTTGTCCCCAAGGATAGTTTTTAAATCAATTTCAACCCAGTTCAGGCATCACTGAAGGTTGAAGCATTCTACTGGAGCAAATTGAAAACTAAAAGTTTCGAGCCACATAACTACCCGTTTAAGCAGGGACAGGTCCTCTTCACAAGTGACAGGATCGTACTAGAACAAGGACACAAAACAGCACAACAACCCCAGCCTTCACCTCGTAGTTCACAGTGTCTGCTGATTCCTTCTCACCCTTTCAGCTCTGTCAGAACATGCTCTGGTGTGCCTCTATGTCAAGTCTAAGTCAATATGTTTCAGCCAGATAAAGACCTTATAACACATAACATTCTGTTTGTACTTGAACAACCAAAGCTTTTACTACCAGCTCAAAACAAAAAGCAGAGACAATGACAGAGTGCTCCAAAGAGTCTATCTTAAGATGTAGATCCTTATTGGCTCCAGGATAAAAACCCCTCATGGTGCTTTGCAGTCAAGCATTCAATGGTAAAATATGGTCTATGAACTGTTGTCATGACGATGCTCTAAACAACCAGTTAACTGATTTTTTAAACTAATATGCAAATCCTTCAAACAATGACAAACACTGTTAACAGCAGCCATTTGTAGTGCAGTGTTATTCTATATTTTGTATATTTAAATATTTCTTTTTTTAATTTTACATTATATTTCTATTTTACTGTATATATTAGTAATTTTTGAGTGTTTATTGCATGGCCTTGCGGAACAGTCTTTCACTGCACATCTGTATGAGCATGTGACAAATAAAAATCTTCAATCTTCAATCTCTTTAACAGTGCGATTCCTCAACAGCGCCAAAACGGAGCTCCGCTGTCATTACCTCATTGTTCATTCATATTGATTCAGTGACAGCAGAACATTGGTGTCCCAGTCTGTGAATCCACATTGAGTTACCGTGTTGTGGAAGCACAATGTGTATAGGAATCAGAGGGAGCTTTACATACACGCACTCGGACATGAACACATAGTGATGTCCTAGACTGGCCAAGCCGATCCGGTCTCACCTCTGTAACGCCTCTTTTACTACCGCTGATGGCACAGAGGTGGGACCACTTCCTCCTTTGTTATGCCTCCGTGAAATTCATATTTAAGAAGAGACATAAATATCCTGCTTTGAACAGGCAGTCTGAATAGGGCTACCGTTTAAGGAAAGTTCAAGGATACAAGAGTCATTGCATCATTTTAATAACCATCATAAATATAAACTATCTCATTAGATCACTTTATCACCTGATGGAAATGAGAGAATGACTTTGATTATCTTGTTGAAAAAAACAAGGACTAAAGAAGAAAGGCACACATTTCTGAAGCAACATTTTGGGGCCATTTTTGTCTGTTTTGGATAGGACAGCTGAAGAGAGACAGGAGACGTCAGGAGGAGAGAGTGGGGGAGGACATGCAGTAAAGGGACAAGGCCGGACCCAAAACCAAGGCTGCTGCAGAGAGGACTGAATCCTTCGTACATGGGACGTGCAACAAATATTTACTGTGATATAATGCACCAGTGTATTTAAAAACAAACTGTTTTCCCTATATTCCACTTTTATGAACCATATTGCTGACATAAACACAATGTCTGATGATACTATGTGCTTGCCATATATAAATCATTTGGCATCTTCTGCAGCGCACTGCAACTTCCTGGACTGCCATATAGACTTCTGAAGATGCAAAATAAACAGCAAAAGGGCTTGTGAGTGTATTAACAGCTAAAGCAAAAAGATTTACTGGAAGAAACTCTATAAGCCACTACTTAGCCAAGCCGTAAAACCCATGCAAACATAAACTATCAGAGATTAAAAACACTGAAACATAAACCATATGTTCTTCTTTCTTTCTTCTTCTGTCGGTTTCTCTTTTTATTAAATATTAAAAACAAATATTAATATAGAGCTGATTGGTACAGGAAACAGGCCAGTATCTATTTGATTAAAGGGATTCTTTAAATATCAATTTCCTGTATACTGTATGGATAGTGACTGTGACTACATAACAGTGTTAAAATTGTGACGGCCCTGTGGCCTGTTAGGTCTCTTTTTAAATTGAATCATCCACTTTATTCTGACTGCAACTTAATTCCAGCAGTTTGTGGACAATCTATCCACGGAAAATAAGAAACTGGACTCCCTGCGTGTGGAGGAGGGATACATCACCTCAGCCCTTTGTCCTTTCTTTGTGATCAGACCACAACCTGATCCACCCTCTGCCCAGTATAAGCCTATAGTGCAAAAGCAGCCTCAGACTACTGTAACTGAAGATGATCGCCGGGGATCAATGTGACTCTGCAGGGCTGCTTTGAAACAACAAAATGTTAGTTGGCAATGCGATTTCTTAGCTAGTTATAATGCCTGTTTCAGCTTCCAAAACATACTCTGCTTGTTCATGTACAGGAAACCATGGCGACAGAAACCGAGCGCATGATGCTGGAGTTGGAGCTGATAAATATTGAGAAGCAGTTGAATTAACTGCAATTTTTAATAAGAATAAAAGAGAGGAGGGTGGGGCGCGCTGGTGGCGCAATGGTTAGGGCGCAATGGTTAGGGCGCAATGGTTAGGGCGTGCGTCCCATGTAGTGAGACTCTCATCTCAAGCGGTAGGCCCGGGTTCGCTTCCACCCGTGGCCCCTTTCCACATGTCATTCCCTGCTCTCTCTCCCTGGTTTCCGACTCTATCCACTGTCCTCTCTCTGCATTAAAGGCACGAAAAGCCCAAAAATAAATCTTAAAAAAAAAGAGAGGAGACATCAAAGGGGTGTGCTACAGCGGGGATTTAACGCAGGAGAATAAAACAGGCTTTAGACAAAGCCAGTTAAAATTGAGTTTTAAAAGTAAAACATGTAATATAGTGGAGAGAAAGGTGTAATATGGGTTATGTATACCTGATTTAGGTAAATGGTAAATGGACTTGAGCTTATATAGCACTTTTCTAGTCTTCCAACTACTCAAAGCATTTTTACAACACATGTCACACCTACACTTTCACACACTGATGGTAGTGATGATCACTATGCAGTATCATCCATCAGAAGTAACTAATGCCATTCATACACCACCACTGAAGCAGCGGGAGCAATTCCAGGTTAAGTGTCTTGCCCAAGGACACATCAGACATGTTGCTCAGCTGGGGACTGAACCCTCAACCTTCCGGTTGAGAGGCAACAACTCTACAAACTGAGCCACAGCCGCATTTAAGTGTAACTCTAATCTAAATTAAATTCCTGCTAATCTGAAGAAAGTCATTTTGTCCCACTGAGCAGAACTGAGCCTCAGCTTTATGTATTGCTTTACAAACCTTTGCTGATTTGTAAGGCCAAACTAGAATGCAAGAATGTTGAACGGTGTTTGGCATGATGCTTTCTTGATAAAATGGAGAGAGAAAAGTGTAGGGGTAAAGTATTGGCCTAATGTTCTCACTGAGACCTGACAAATGTCTGACGTAGCTGACAGCCTTACCTGTTCCTGGAGGGGGGCATTTGTCACAACGAGGGCCCCAGGCTTTGCCCACACTGCAGCAGCAAAGCTGTTTGCTCAGCTGGGCAGACACTGGGTGCAAACACTGCCTCCCTGAGCTGACCAAACGGAAGCAAGCACCCTTCTCCTCTTGGATGGCAGGCGTGTTGGCTGATGAAGTGCGCAGGAGGAGGACAGAGGAGCAGGGGGAGGCGTAGGAAGTGTTGCAGGAGACACATACATGGGGGGGAAAGAAAGGACAGAGGGTAGAGAAATATAGAAGTCCCCGTCACCAGAGCAAATGTTTTCAACTGAACAAACTGCTGCCACAAACAGAGCCTAAACATATTTCTAAGACAATACAAAGACAAATCTATATTTTGCACTTAGATGTTGGGCAAACTTAGTTCGAATGCATTAAAACACAATACAGCAGAAAAAAAAATCTATGTTATCATGCCAATGCTCCATGCACTTCAGGCACACACATCTAAGTCAAGCGCTGGCTCAGATTAAAGCATGCAAGAGAGTGTGGATCACTTGGTGCTTTTTCAAGTCTTATGGTTTGATCCAACATCTTCACTGAATGCCAACTGGAAACTGTTCTTTGTGGAACACAGTCTAAATAATAGCCTCCAAGGAAAAACAAGAATGTTTGGTTTACCTTTTTCTTTTTGACTGAAACATTACCTGGAGTAAATCATCTCAATACTGGTTAAGTACTTGACCTATTTTGCCAACAAATTATCAGATTTCAAAACATCAGGAATGGCTTGTAAAAAGATTAGCTGAAGCTGGTGCTGAGGCTTTACTTCAGCTAAATCTAACCATGAAGGCTGTCAATGCTTACTAAACAGAGAGTTAGGATTCTCTACTTCCTCCATTATGAAGACATTAACACTCAGACATACAGTGGTGATGTGGAGTGGTGAGTCGGATTCATCTTTTGGGCATTTTTTGCAAATGTCTTCCAGTATTTGAGATGGGATGTTTGACAATCATTTGTCTTTTTGTTCAGAGTTGGATCAAGGCCACCGTTATCAAAGCTTGAAATAAATTGTAGATGAAGGAGCAAACATCTGCTGAGTAAACTTCCTCTATCATGAAGACATTAACACTCAGACATACAGTACATTCAGTGGTGATGTGAAGTGGTGAGGGGGATTCATCATTTGGGCATTTTAATATTTTCCATTATTTGAGATGGGTTGTTTGACAATCATTCGTCGTTTTGTACAAAGTTGGAATCAGGCCACTGTTAGCAAAGCTTAAAATAAAGTCTAGATGAAGGAGCAGACATCTGCTGAGGCCTGTGCAAAGTAAAAACAAAAAAGCCTTCTAAAGCTTTGCAATCCTGGAACCCATTGGTCTGACCGCAATAAAGCCTCTTGGAGTTGTTTCAGGAGTAGGAGTTTCGAGACTTCCGTTGCAGCCAGTGGTTGGTCAAAAAGGAGAGATAAAGGATGTCATGCCCAAGATTAAAACCATAGTAAAGGTTACTGTGGTTTGTCATTGTTGATAGTACGACTAACAACTTGGGACATCTTCCAACGGATTGTTAGCTTCACTTTCATACAGATGTTTGTTTTCAAAGGTAGAAAAAGAGAGATATGCTTTGAGTAAGTGTGGAACATGTCTTTGTTTTTCTGGTTGCTGTTTTTTGATATGCTGTGCCTATGACCATCCATCTTCATTGTGTTTAAGATCAACAAAGGGCAAACTGGCATCAGATCGTAGCTGATGGGTTCAGTTAAATAAAACCCAACAGTTCACAGCGTAGGTCAATTTAGAAAATAGCCAGAGAAACTCTACCTAGACCTGTAGAGAGAAAGACTGTCAAGGCAAAGTACAGGAGAGAGGTATAATAACACTTCCAGCATTTAACATCCCCAAGAGCAAAGTAAGCCCCATTATTGTGAAATGAAAGAAGTCTGAAACCACCAATATTCCTCCAGGCCATCATTTTAAAATGAGTAAACAAGCAATGATGGCCTTGGCCAGGATGGTAACCAAGAAATCAAAGGTTCTCTCTGCAGGGTTTTTCTGTAGAAATGGGACAAGCTGCCAAAAAGGAAAACTATCCCTGCAGCACTCTGCCAGTCTGGCCTTCATGGTAGAGCTAGGGGACGAAGCCACTCTATAGTAAAAGGCAGATGACAACCAGTCTGCAGTTTGCCAACCTGCACTTTGGGGCTGTGGGAGCATAAGGAAAATGTTTCTGTGGTTTGATGAAACCAAAATTAAGCTCTTTGGTCTTGCCAAGAATCTGCATGGTGGTTGCAGCATTAGGCTCTGAGTATGCTCTTCATCTTGAGTGAGTCAATGTCGGGATTTAGGTAAACAGGTAAGAAAAAAAATGTGACTATAGAACAGTCCTCAAAGAAATCTTCTTCTCACTAAAGCATTCAGTATGCCCAAAACTAAGTCCACGGTGGATGGTATCACACTGAAAGCAAAGCATCAGGAAGCCCCTTTGAAATTAAGGGGATCCAACTAATATCTGGTAACTTAAAAAACAAATGAGTCAGGCAATTACAACTACTAATGCCAGTGATTGGTTGAGTGTGCATGAGACAGAAGACTTGGGCTGAGTCCAAAAACACATGCCTTCATTTCAAGTAATTATGAATAGTATGGGTAGTATTGAGTATACTTGAACAGTGATCAATAAGTTTTTATTGTAAGTGTTGCATCACGTTAAGTATGTAGTGCATTCCAAATTCATAGTATGCAAATTAGTTTATGCAAGAAATGGCTGAATGTATACTAGATTGGCAAATTTATTTTCTTCAGACTATCCAATAGCAAAGTAATCATACTGTAATATCTTAAATAAATTGTCAAATAATATTTAAATGAATACGTAGCTGTATAAGTAATAAATGTATGTGTATTGTAAAAGTGTACATGCTGCCTAACGGGTGTGCTAGCCTGGTGCTTTCTTATTCAATATGGCTCAGACTAAAAACATGATTTAGAGGAAGTTTATTTGTATGCTGCTGACAGAATACTAGCTGTCAGGTTAGAAGGCAGTATGTGGAATATACCATTCATCCCATTGAGATAACAAAAACATTCAAAGGATTACAAAATTGCTGGAGATGCGTTAGGGAGACAGGGAGGCACATGGACGCTTGCCATTAGACCAAATCCTCTTTGTTGGTAAGTAAAGGGATTACCTAGCTTTTTCAGTTAATTATAGTGAAGTGCTATTCACACTGAGCAGCAACATTGAAACTGCATTTAATCAAGTGAAGTTAAAAACAATGGTAACACCTCACCAATGGCTATCAGAGGCACTTATGGTCAGATGTCTTTTATACAAGACATGGCTTAGAGTGGCGGGTAAAGAAACATTCAGGTTTGGATTGTTTGGGCCAGCTACAATGGAGGAAAACAACAGAGTAGGTTAGTGGAGTCATAGAAATTATATTAAGAGTTGAACAAATCACTGTGCTCTAATGGTTTGTGGATGACCATTTTGAGCTGTGAATTTAGCAGTTTGAAATGTAATTTATGTTGTAGTTTTTTGGAGAAAGAGACTAGGAAAATGGGATACATCACTAAGCTGGTTGACATGTTGGCTGATGCAGCTTGTCTCACAAAAGCAACCATGCACTAAAGAATACTCAGTAGTTCTGATCAAATGACAACTATGGAGATCCTCCATGATGGCATGTTAAAGGTAACGCCACAGTGACTTGACTTTAAAAAGAGGCTAGAGTGAAGCTCAAAACATCATGATTAGGACTACAAATACATGTTTTGGTTTTAACTTAACATTCCATTCTCTCCAGGAAGATGCTCATGCCTACACTTTGAAGCAGAATTTGAGGTTGCAGTGTTACTTTAGAGTTACACTTTTTTTAGTTGTCCACTTCTTACTGGGGTTAAATCCCCATGGTAACTGATTCTGCACATCTTACCTGCCTAGGAGCATGTAATGTTTAAGATGAGGATTCAACTGGAACACATAGTGTTCAACACAAGGGATGAACCACTCACCAATGAGTCTCCATATGAGTGTTCACGGACCATAAAAAAACCTGAAAATCTTCTAAGCGTCCAGGAGTTTTCAGTTGTGTTACTTTTAACTTGACTTGTCCAAGTTTGCTTTTGGTCATATGCTTCAAACACTGCTTAGTCCATTGCTAGAGTTTAACCCACTACAGAGCTCTGTGCTTGGAGTGTCTGCCTCTGAATGGCTGATGGAAGACAGCAGTTACATTAATGAATTTTCAAGTCTCCTCCGCTGAGCCCTTTGGATTACACAGTGATGGTGATGAATGGACCCTTGGCTTTCATTAACCAAGATAAAAGAGAACGAGAGCACAACCCCAAACCCCTTTGTAATTGATCACACGCACAGACAAACACATGTACACACAAGGGAACTCTGCAAAACACAGGGAACACATGCTCACAGCATGTCCGGACTAAGAGAAATGGATGACAAACACTACTGATCAATCATGTCCAAGATTGATCACTCTGGCAGCTGTTGCTTCTGCTTCTTCGCCTTCTCTACATCCATCCTCTTGTATTTAAAAATGAGAACTGTTTGGTTTACAGATACTGGGAAACATGCTGGTAATCTTATTATGCAATCAACACCATGCTCTCATCCATGCACTGAATTCATATGCATATCTTGCATATGCTGCATTTAGCAGCATTTCAAGCAGCCCCTGCTGTAGTTGAACTTTGTAGCAGATGGTTTGGGTAAATAATGGAACTTACATTTCCCATGTCTGCTTCCTTTCAATGATGGGAAAAGTCAAACTCATATAAGAAAGCTTTTGTATGATATCAGAGAGCAGCATGCAATAGTGATAGATTATTTCTGTGAAAATAAGATGATTGCTCAGTCTTGCACTGCACTCTTTGTGTTCTGGGTTTGGATGATTGTCAATGAGAAAGTTAGGAGAGACAGTAACTGAAAGAGAGAATATAATATTGTACTTACATATGCATGTGGTGAGCGTTGGGTCAGGGACAAATCCGGGTTTACACATGCACCTGTAGCTGCCCACGGTGTTCATACAGTTTCCGTTTGGACACACGCCCTGAAGCTGGCACTCATCTAAATCTAAGAATCAACAAAAATAAATACACCCTTATTAATGCAGAGATCTTTCACTACATCACTCATCTTTGGCAAATTACAACATTTGCTCATTGTGCAGCTTGGCAGAGTTATTGGATATTATTTCAAAAAGAGCTCTAAGGATTTAGATCATAGAAAGGAAGATGGGCTGGATTTAGGGGGATACATTTTTTGTTCCAATGGGTGACAAAGTGACATGTATATTTTCATATAAAGGTTTAGAGAAAATATAGGAAAGCAATAGACCATGTGTTACAAATTAGCATTTTGCTATAAACACTAATCTGGGACATGTGCATGGTTAAATGTTACAGCACCAATGTTACTGTATGTCCATGTTAAATAAACAAATACAAAATAAATAATGGATGTAGTGGTATATCAAATGATGCAGTATCAAAGTCGAACACCTGGTATTGATTAACACCCCAGTTAATTCCCACAGATAAATAATGGCCATCACGTGTTTTAAAGGGGTAGAAAATTGTATTTACTGCCTTAAGGGCTTTTCTCTAAAGCCCCCAGGACAATTGATCAACATAAGTCCAATGAATAACGAACAAGCTTACAAAGCTTGTTGAGTTAAATAAGGATTTTGTCTTAATTATCAAAATGGGTTGGTTAGCAGAACAACCTTCAGACTTAGACAAACATATTGTTGGTTTGGGCAATTTTCTGAGATTTATTTACAATAACTTAAAACTAATATCACTAGCGCTAGTCTTTTGAGCTTCACCAATCTCTGTTTTTGTATGAGCAATGCCCCATGTGTAATGGGAAAGAAGTAGCTCTTACTAATAAATGTAAAAAGAATCATTGCCTAACTCTGCAGGCCCTGTCAGATCTACAGAGCATTTAACCCTCCTTTTTAACATTGGTTTTGGGTTACCTTTGCAACTAAAATACTTTTGTCCACGCTATGCATTCTCTGAGCTTTTATGGAGAACAACACTTGGAATTGAGAGTCATGCTGTGGCAGTCATGGCAGTTTGAGGCACAGCAGGGGTTGGTTTTTTTAAGCCAGGTGCTCTGGTGAAGATTCTCACCAGAACCACAGGTAAAATGTTTTTTCGTTTTTTCAAGATGAGGTATATTTATGTAAAGAGGTATATTTGCATTAATATTGAAAATATCAAATACATCGAAATAAATATATTGTTGAGTAATGACGATATAAAAAGAAAGTGTATGCAAACTCCCTCTGGGTTTGTTGTTCTCAGCTCTGTGTCCATACAGATGGCAGATGAGCTTCCTTCAGCTTGTTGCTGTTTCAATCAGAGGCTCAGACACGTTTCATACATGTTTTCCAGCAAACCCTTCTCCCTCCAGCTGTTAGTCCTGCCCCCTCATGGCATTCAGGGATGCTGTACGTCCACAATGGTGGAGTTTTGTCCAATTCAAGGAGAACAAACAGACTTCCCAAACTGAGGAAAATACTTTGTTGGGTCTGGATTACTTCAAACAGATTTAAAACAAAAATCTGAATGTAGATCACTCTAACAAACAGCTACACTCAGTTGTAATACACTGAGGGGTGGGCGAAGAGGGGAAGTGGTGCACTGAGGGACAGAGGAGGCATGGCCAAAGAAAAGCTTTGTTTTGGTCTTCAAGACTGGTGCTTATGTGTAAAACATCTACTGGACATCTGCCCTGAAAGTCACAATAAATACATCCAAGGTGTTACCAAATTTGCACCAACTGTCATTGAAACCTTTTTCTATAAATATTGAAGCTATCATTCAGATTGGGGTATTTTGGCACTTATTGGGATTGCTGAATGTTTAAGATAAATCTGATTTGAATCAATGCAACAGCTGTTGGAGATACGTGTACATGAATATGGACCCCTGCTATGGATTACACAGCTGAATAATATTTGTAACCCAACACCAGAATTGTTTTACATCCAATCCCAGCACACTGTTAATGTTTTGGACCTCCACTGTGTAATGTGCCGAGTTTAATGGAGTCCAATTCCTACAATGAGAACACACTTGGCCCAAGTCGCAGACTGTGAGTCATGTCTGTAACCCACCATGACTTCCAGCTTAAAGATGGAAGGGAGCAAACATTTCTCAGCCAAAATGCTTTAATAGGCTGTTGACAGCCTACTTGGTTGTCTTTTATTGGTGAGGTGAACTGTGTTAATTCTTTTACAAAACTCAAAGAAAGTTTTATTGCCAAAAGAGGAATTTAGTTAGTAAAGGAATCAATATGTGTGTATAATATGATGGAATAAAGGTGCACACACACTAGGCCCGGGCCTGAGCATGGTTTCCTCTTGAAGCCTACATAACGTCGTAATATAAGACATGCTTTGCTTTACGTGATCTTAAAGTATGCTTATCTTACAATACAGACAGACTCAAAAAATTAAAAAAATCAACACATCGGAGAACAACACAGAGAACAAGACAGCTGCTTTAGTGACTTTGTGACTTATTTTGAGTCATTTTAGTCAGAAACAGCCACAACACTCCGGGATTTCTAGATAATGGAAGGCTGTCCACGATGTAAGTATCAATGAAGCCCGATGGCACCAGTCAGTTATGTCAGCTAGAAACGTGCCTTAAGGACGTTAGGACCTGGATGACCAGAAATGTTTTGCTACTTAACTCAGACAAGACTGAAGTTATTGTGCTAGGCCCTAAGAACCTCAGAGAGACTTTCTCTAGTGATTTGACTGTCCTTAGTGACATCAGCCTGGCATCTAGCACCACTGTTAGGAATCTAGAAGTCCTATTTGATCAAGACATGTCCTTTAACTCTCACATGAAACAAACTTCAAGAACAGCCTATTTTCACCTTCGTAATAAATCGGAAATCCGGCATATCTTCAACTCATCCAAAACGCTGCAGCTCGTGTACTAACTAGAAGTAGGAAAAGGGACCACATTACTCCTGTGTTGACCTACGCTATACAAATAAAGATTGATTGATTGATTGAATTATTGATTGATTGTTTGAATTATTGATTGATTGATTGATTGATTGATTGATTGGTTGATTGATTGATTGATTGATTGATTGATTGATTGATTGATTGATTGATTGATTGATTGATTGATTGATTGATTGGTTGGTTGATTGGTTGATTGATTGGTTGGTGGAATTATTGATTGTTTGATTGATTGGTTGGTTGATTGGTTGGTGGAATTATTGATTGATTGATTGGTTGGTTGGTTGGTTGGTTGGTTGGTTGATTGATTGGTTGGTTGATTGGTTGGTGGAATTATTGATTGATTGATTGGTTGGTTGGTTGATTGGTTGGTTGGTTGGTTGGGTGGGAGACAGAAAGTCTTTTATTTGCCCCGTTCTCCAAGGACACAATCTCTTCCCACTCTCAGTATGCAAACACCCTTGCTTCTAATTGAAGCGCTCAACATAACTAATACGGTCTTCAGTTTGTTTATTTTTTCAGTTTTACCATCCTTGGCTAAATTTGTCCAATTATCTAACGCTGGTTGTGAGTTGCTCTAAGCCTTTGGATGATCATATGGGAGAAGAAGAGAGGGGACTGTGAGGAAGGCAGTACTAACCCAAAACTTAATATTTCAGGAATATGTGTATGAGTGCCGGAAAGCTGAAGATTGAGGTTGAATCTGCTCATTATGCAAAATAAGGATACATAAATGTCAATGAATCTGCTCATTATGTTACTAATTTTAGTTTAAAAATGCAAAAAATGTTGACGCATTAAAGCATCAGGCTACCATCTTAATGATAACAATGGGATTTCTGTTGAACTGAGCTACAGAGGTACTGACTCATTAAGTCCAAACACGGCATCAGGAAGGAGCAGCTTCCCACCATGTTCTAGAAAAGAATGCCAAACAGTCTGTTGGATGAAGCCTAGCTCCTCCTTGGTGCTTGATGCATCAGACCGTATATCTTTTTGCAATTTCTTTTGGTAATGAATCCACATACTGTATAGCTGTTTGTTTGGTCAATGTGACCCATCAGAAACACATGTTGATGTCTTTAAAAATTCAAATGGCAAGAACAAAAGTTTCTCCACAAATTGAAATTGTGAAATGATGACGGCCGCCATTGAGACCAAAAGTCTTTAAATTGCTTTAATGGAAACAGTCTAAAAAAAGATAGTAATTCCTTACCTTGGCAGTGAGAACTGTTGACTCTCTTGTAACCCTGAGGACAATCGATCAGAGGGATAGCTAGAGAATAATAGAGAAGGGAGAAAACATGTCAGTAAAATGAGAAATAATAACATTGTGTTTGTGTTTTTGTTGTTTTCCGATTTGATTTAGCTACAGTTTGCTTTTTACAAACCCCATCTCTAAAACCTTTTCTTTTGCTCAATAATTAGGTATTTTTCTTTTATATTTGAAAGCACTATTCTCTTGGATCAGTTTGAAATATTTATTAATTTTTCATCCTTTTATTATGGTCAATTTAAATGCAAGTGTCAATTTTGTGACTACTCCACATAAACTGTAGGTTCTGACTTCTCAGACGTCCAGAAACTTTGACAATCAATGTTTGAACATAATTCAGAGCCACTAAACGCCGAAACACTCTCTGTTCCATCATGTTTTAAAAATATGATATCCATTGACAACTGATGTAAACATTGGTTGCCCATTTAAGCCTGAAAAACAATCTGTATTTGATGTGCTTTAAAGCTGCATGATATTGAATAACCTGCTTGACATGTGCTCTTGTTGAAGAGGTTGAAGACCAGTCACGCTGCTGCGTTCATCTGCAGGGGTTTGATATCACATGTAGAAAGACCTGCCAGCAGGGAGTTGCAATATTGAGCAGCTCTACACCATGACATGCATGCAAGGACAAGTGGAGGATTTCATTTTAAATAGTTGAATCCATGAGCAGCATTCTATCTAACTAAAGCAGAAAGCAGATTCAGTTTGCAAAATGGACAAAAATATGTCCTAAGAAAGACAGAAAAAGAAAAAATATTATTGTAGCTCTTTTTACCCAACATTGAAGAAACTGAAGTAATGTTGTGTTTTTTCTCATGCATTCATTTCCACACACAAAGCTGTGTTGCATAGTAACTTAAAGACCACTGAATTAATTCATAAATAGTCAGATGATGAAAGGATGAATGAGAGAAGTATGAGAGATACCTAAAGAGGAGTTCAAATGAGACATTTATAAGAGTGAGTGTTGGAGCTGCAGCCTGCAGGGTGTAAAGCTGCTCAGATATTCAGTAGCTCACAATAATCCAGACTAAAGAGTCAAATTTGTGTAAACCTCTGCTGCAGGTTAGAGACCGGGCCCTGCTGTAATGGAGGCACCAGTGGGGAAGTGGTACTCAAATACCTTGTATCAATAAGCAGATTGATATTTTGCTAACTGGGAAAAAACAACAAGGCGATGTTTGTCTGAACAATAAAGCCAATTTATTTACCAGCTACCAGAGTCTCGGTGGCACAATAGACTGTTTCACAATTCACTGTAAGGCAAAACAGGAGAAAAAACTCATGCCCCTGCCATTCCTGAGCAGAACAGATGGAGGACTAAACTCTGCTATTGTAGTGACTCCCACTGAGATATGTGAACAATGAGGCTGAATTTTCACTCTCATGGTGTTTATGAGGCATAGGGGCCTGCTCTGAATCTGAAGTTGCATGAGTGAGTGCTTCACTGCGCTTTTTCAAACAATCAAAAATTAGGATTTTGCTTAGGATTGTCGGAAAACTGGGCCTATTATCTTGTCATGTGTACCCCACTTAAGAAAAAGATAAATTGATGAGAAGTTGAGATAAAGTTGTATTACTGTATTACTACAGACAGTGAAATAAAAAAAAAAACATTTGAAACATTTGATGTTCAAAAGACTGCAGTCAAAACTGTCAGCTGGGATGCTGTTAGGATCTCTGTTATAGTGTTTTCACAAATACACAAGACTCTTTATTAAAACATCACAGAATTTCCAATGCATCCTGCCTGAAATATTAAGACATTTCCCAGATAGCTGCTTCTGTGCCCTACTCTGTGACTTGACGTTTTATGGAGGTAGACGCTCAGCTACTGCTTCACACACTCAGTCATGTCACAGAGGCTCGCTGAGTCATCACAAACACTGAGGAATTTGACAAATAGGTTTACAGCAAAGAAATAGAGAAAAAAATAAACTACAATGACCCTGAATTTTTTTTATTAAGCGTATTTCATTAAACACCAAATAAGTATCCAAAAAGATTTAATCAAATAAATTTCATGTAACTGCTGTTTGTTTTGAATAACTAACTTTGTCTCATTAAAATCATGTTTTTAATCTGTCATTATGGCATAAACCCTTAATACTCTAATCCCACTAAGCCACAGCTGCTATTTCAAAGACACTAATCAGACGTGTTGGAGATTGAAAATATTTTTTCTTGCAGTAAACTCTAAAAATGTAGTTAATCTAACAATAATGACCCTAAAACTACAAGTAAACTTATTTACAATGTTTTTAATTTGTAATAAACTTGGTGTTAAACTTTTTAGAGTCCATTCATCCATTATCTATACCTCTTTTCCCGTCTGGGGTCGCAGGGAGCTGATCCCAGCTGTCATAGGGTGAGAGGCGGGGTTACACCCTGGACTGTTCGCCAGCAGGGCCGACATATAGAGACAGACAACCAGCCACTCTCACATTCACACCAAGAGTCACCAATTAACCTCACGAGAATGTCTTTGGCCTGTGGACATGCAAACTCCACACAGAGAGGTCCTGTACAACAGGGATCCACCGTGCCCTTTCACGGTCATCATTATTTCTTCTTTTCTGACATTGTTGTTCATGTGTTGCAGAAACAAACGTGCTATACGGTACTCAAAACCAGTTATTTAAGACCATAAATACGTTTATTTTGGGTTGTATAAAGGAGGTTTATTTATTAAGCTATTTAAGGGATTATACTCAAGCTATGTAACTCCAAACCACCTCGCTCCAGGGAGGTACTGCAGCTCTTACATTAGAGCATGTCTGTACATGTTCTACATCCCTTAGCTCTGGATTCAAAGAGGGTCTCCAGTTCTATAAAGGGACCACGGTTGAATAACCACCTACTACATAAAAAGCACAGCTACATTAAGACTGGAAACCCCCTCCCCCACACAACCACACATAAAGTTTAGCTGGGTAACAACCTCTCTAAAAAGATCAGTGGAAGAGGGGTCAGCACTGCATGCCACTATGGCATTTAGAGCTTTTCCTCTCTAGAAATAACTCACAGGGGGGAAAGTCACCTGTCCTTTAATACACAGACCAGCACAAGGGTCAGATTATATTTCCTAAATGCTCAAAGTCAGCATCTTCAGTTTGCCTGATGCTAGCTGAAGCTGGAGCCTGGAGAGACACTTGCTGGCTTCTGTGGGATGGAGGAGGGTATCCAGGGTAAAGAAGATTTCAATTGGATTCAATGTTTTATTGTTAAGTGTAGCTTCTTTAGTATGTGGGATTACTAACTCAATTTATTGCATCTTAAAGCATGAATTCTTTAAACTTGTGTTTGCAGTTTAGTTGTCTTTACAGACTCTGTTTCAGGTCGAATCACGGGGTCGAATTTTGAATCAAAAGGCTTCAAATTAACCTGAATTTTTTCTTTCAAATTCTGGGAAAAAAATCAGAACCATACATTTTTCAGTGGCCCTAATACTATACCGTATGCCGTTGTGCTCTTGCGGCCAAAATACAACAAAGAACACTGTAACCCTTTTCACACATACGGAAGTAAAGTGTCTGTACGCGACCACTACGATCTCCGTGCTCTAATTAAACATCTGCATTCTGTTTTCTGTTCGTCAGTATGTTGTTCTCCTCTCTTTAGTGGATGTTGTCATTCCATTGGATTACACATAGCATTGATATAAAGACAAATATTCTCATTATAACGTTGTGTAGTGGACTCTGTTGCGTTGGCCGCTACTTCCACGTTGTTTATTTACGTCACGTCTTACCTCAGGAAATCCCCCGATCCCCCTCCCCTCTATCAGGGATAGTCCCCCCCTCCCCTCTATCAGGGATAGTCCCCCCCTCCCCTCTGACAGGGAAAGTCCATGAGTATTTTAAAAAATGGATTTTGCAGAGTCTTTTAGTGTTGTTTGTAAAAGAACTGTTTCATATTTAGAAATTAAGGTTAGATTAATTTTGAACTTCACAGAGGATTTATCAGAGGTTTCAAAGAGGTTTATATAAACGAACATGAGGGGCTCAGATGGTAGAGTTTTCGTCTCTCTACCGGAACGTCAAGAGTTCGATCCCCAGCTCCTGCAGCAACATGTCCGATGTGTCCTTGGGCAAGATGCTTAACCCTGAATTGCTCCCGCTGATCTGTCAGCGGCGAATGAATGCGTATGAATGGATTAGTTACTTCTGATGGTCTCACTACATACCAACCTCTGTCATCAGTGTGTGAATGTGTAGGTGTAACCTGGGCAGTAAAAGCGCTTTGAGTAGTCAGAAGACTAGAAAAGAAATGTACAAGCTCAACTTCATTTACCATTTAACATTTACATGTCCTTAAAGTCACAAGGACCATATATGAGATAATCAGCTAAACTTACATTGTGTCTTTGGACACTTCTGGCATTTGTGGAAGCCCCAGGATGTCCCAATGGTTCCGCAGCACTGCTCCTGTTTGGTGAGTCCTGGCAGAGCCTTCCCACACTGAAACACACACATTTTACAATGACACAGAGGTGGAAGAGGACGGAATGAAGCTGGTCACACATGCTGATAAGAAACACTCTTTTTGCGCTTCATCCTTCCCTCAAAGAAAGTCCCATATCTCTAAGGCTAACTGCTGTGCTAAAAGGTGACCTCGTGATGAAGTGGGTGATCATTTATGGCCTCCAACTGAACTCGACATCGTGAATTTTTACAGTAAGACAATAAATCTGTTTCCCATTTTATAGCTTTCATCTCCAGGATGTAATATCTATCAAAACCTACCACCAAGAGAGGTTGTTGCAGTGACATCAAGGCTGTTTGCGTTGTTTTGGCTGTGGCACCATGAATTTGTCAGTTTAACTGCCGTTTTCTTGTCTTTGTGCTCTCACATGTTACACAGGTCTAAAATGACTAGCTCTTTGATATTTGTTCTTTGTACTCGCTTGCACAGAGGTAATAATAAATTACTTTTACCAACCAAGAATTGCTCGTTAAGTCAGGAATTATAAATTGTATACACTTCATGTTTCTTCTGGTCACCTAAAATAGAAGCAGGATTCATTTACAAAGTAAAATGTGTTTTTGTTCATGCTCATGTAAGTCCTTTTAAACGGCTCTATATCTTGTTGGAAGGTGTCACTGGCAGCACTGACAGTTCAGCACTACCAGAGACTGAAGATGTGGGTTGCCAGATCTGGAAATGGAATTGATGCTAGAGCGTTTTTCACGGTACAGAGAAACATGTTTTCTTTGGGTTTTTTTTTATATCCCACTTGTGAAATGTTGTTCCAAAAATGAGTTTCTTTGCTCATTACCTGTCCTCATATTCACTTCTCCAGTTTGAATGAATAGACTCAGGACCAACTGTTCTCCTCCACAGGGCAGGGCAGTACTATAAACCAGGTGACACATACAGTAGAGGCAATTTCTTCTTAGTGCAATGCCTCCTTTTTGAGATTTCTCTGATGAATACATATATTTCAAGTGACATATACAGTCACAGCGTGTGGTGGACAGGACAGGACACAATGTTGTGCATCAAGCATGGTTGCATGGATACAGACTGTTTAGGCAGCTATGTTTTGCACAAGATAGTCTGACCAAAGGAAAAGTTCCAGTATGCCACACACATGTTGAAAAAAAAGACCTCTGTGAGCTTTAGGGCGGCTGTGGGTCAGTTGGTGGAGTCGGTCGTCTCCTAACTGGAAGGTCGGGGGCTCGATCCCCAGCTTCTGCTGCTACATGTCCCATGTGCCCCTGAGCAAGACACTTAACCACAAGTTGCTCCTACTGCTTTGTCAGTTGTGTATACATTTGTACGAATGGGATTAGTTACTTCTGATGGTCACTTTACATAGAAACCTCTGCAGTAGTCAGAAGTCTAGAAAAGTTGCTATAGAAGCTGAAGGCCATTTACCATTAAGCTTGCTTTAACATTAATCAACTCAAAAAATGCTTACATTCAATCACTGAAATTCTTATGAGGCTGTATTCTATTTTTTTACAATTTTCATAAAACTCTCTCGTTCCGTTTAAAAGCTCCTCAGTTTCAATGACATTCTCATGACAGTGTACCTGACTCCCTGCAGTCTCCTGGAAGCAGCGACCCAGTGTGTTCTTGGATGTGACCGGATGGTACTGGGGCACCTGGTAGCCATGCTGGGCGGGATAGACTCTGTTGTAGCCGTGGTGCTGGATCTTCTGGCTGCTCTCTGAGTGGTGGTAGCTGTAGCTGGTGGATGATGAGGAGGAGGAGCCTGACTGGGAGCCTTTCAGCTGGTGCCCGTTGTTGTTGTTGTTGTGGTAGTTGTCCAGTTGAGACACCTGGTGGACCTGGACGGACGCCTCTGGAGGATGTTTGATGTGGATGTTTACGTAGCTGGGGATGACAACTGGAGGCACATGACACAAAATGATTACAGTGTAATATCGCCATAGAAAGAAAGCTGTGGGTTCAACTGGAAAACAATGCAATATATGAAGTGCACAGATCGCAAACAATAGGTTAATGGTTGGCTTCTCTTGAGCAACCGCCTTACATCGATTATCATTTTTATAAATAATAAAGTGACTCTTAGAGCTGCTCAACTTCAGCCTCTACAATGAACATAATCAGTCCTCCCTGTTTCATCAACATTACAGTTACTAACATTAATATTACACTGATCAGTCTAGTATCACACTTTATCACACATACTTTTACCATTACTGACATTCATTGTTGTTGTTGCTCTGTTTTTATATCCTTATCCTTCTTCCTTCCTTTCCTAGCCCAACACAGTTTGGCAGTTCATCATGAGTCTGGTTCTGCTCGAGGTTTCTGCCTCTTAAAGGATGTTTTTCTTACCACTGTAACATTGTTAAATGTTGCTTAGTGCTGAGCTCATGATGGGTTGATTAATGTTGGGTCTCTGTAGATTATATAACAATGAGTAAGGTCTTTGACCTGCTTTTTGTAAAGTGTCATGAGATAACATTTGTTATCAATTGTTGCTATACTAATGAAAACTGATTGGTTAATTGATTGATGTCATAGTGATGGAATCAGTGTTTAAGCCAGCCTGGAGAGTAAAATTTATTTTTATTTTTTCAATCTCTGAGTAGCACAAAACCAAGCGGCATCCAGCAGTGTAGAAAAGTGAAGCTAATGCTGAATTGCAAAATACTGCAGTGCCTCCAGTGTCCACTTGAGGCTGGCTACATAGCTGCATTGAAGGCTTAAGGCCTCAGCACCTCTGGTCCATCAGCTCCAGCTCTCTGCCTGTTACTAGTTTGACCACTAGTTAGTGAGAACAGCATTTCTACTATGAAGCTGATACAAAGCCAATTGATGGGGACTGTTATTATAGATTATAGATCAGCTGTTTGTTAGTGTGTTGTGATGTGTGAATATTCAGTCTGGGCCTGGCAAAGAGCTGTCATGGACATGGACTGATTCAACCAACAAGGGGGACAGTTGAAGATTAAAATAATGGTCAGCATTTGATCCTTCCCAGACTCTGATTGCTTTCCAATGATTCTCATTTGATCTTGCTGCATTTTGACTTTGTGTATGTTAAACTGGTCGTCACCCACAGACTGTACTCTGGGCTGTGTTAGCCCTTTCACAACCCAATAATATCAGTGGTCTGTTCTTCTTCATGAAAGAACGACTCTTGACTAGTGTGAAGCAGTCAGCTACAGTGAATTTGCAAATCACTTTGCAAAAATCCACAAAACAGAGCTAAGGAGACGATTACAATTTCTAACACATATACTGAGAGTAATGCTCATTTATTTTGTGTTTCAAAAAGTTTAAATGATCCACTCAGAATACTATGTTTTCTAGTAGACAGATGTCTTGGAAGGACAAGGGATTAAACATTTAAGCCTTTTCTCAACACCTGACTGCTGAACGGCCACCCTCACATTATCTCAAAGTAGTTTTTGTGACCTTTTATGTGATCTTTAAAATGTGTGACTTACATGACATATGTGGAAACACACATTCTTTAAATAAAGCTCACTGATAAAGGGTAGGATAGTGTCAACACCCCTGTTTTCTGTCTGGGTCACAGAAACACTTGTTCAGCCCTTTAATTGTACCAGTTGTTTCTTTGACTTACGGGGAGTCTGGCCGTTGCTGTAGGTCAGAGGCAGAGTGTGTGTGGAGTGGACCTGAGTCTGGCTGTAGCCCCCTGACGTCTGCTGGTGCTGCTGGTGTCCGTTCTGAATGGGCATCTGGCAGAACTTTCCAGTAAAGCTGGGAGGGCACTGACACTTGTCCCTGGTGCTGCATTTTCCACCATTTATACACGGCAAGTGACACACCACTGAAAAGAGAACGAAACACAAGAAGTTTATTATGTCTATGGAGGCATAAATACAAAACGTCCGACACATTGTATGTGGATTCACACACTTTTAGACACATCTGTCATTAATTAGGCTTAAATACGTCATAGTCAGATTGGGTTGCATCTGGAAGGTAGACTTTGGGAATCGTAAACATAGAGGGGAAAAGTGAAATGCAGGTTATTCTGTCTGTGTGGCTTGGCGTGGTGCATTTGGTGCTGATAACAGTGCACTGCAGAGATTTATGATATAATGATGCCATGCAGTGCGATGATTTTACAATATTGCATTCAATGCTTTGTGTCTTACTCAAGTAAGACATGGAACCACCATACATGTTCGATCTGATTTCTTGTATTTTGTACCATGAGCAGTCTCTCTTTTAATTGAATGAAAGGTGCTGATTAAATTAATAAACAAATAAAAACCCCTATTTATGTATTTCAACTTAAAGGAAACAACTTAAAATATTGCAAACAAATGTTATAACCTTTGCTAAGGTGTAAGAGCTGGATTGGCAATTACAGCAAAATGTGACAAAGTGCACTCAAAAAATCAAAGATATATTGATAGTTACATAAATGTCAATTTGAGCACCATTATAAATTGGTCGAGGTTTGAGGCTTTTAAGTATCCCATCTTGTTGTACCCTCTTCCTCTGTAATAGTTTAATGGCCTTCGACTGGAGAATGAATTTCACCAGCAATTGTCCTTCTTGAACCAACTTTGCCAATATAGCTGTAGGATTTAGACGCTACGCCTTTGTTCACATTTTCTACAGCTCATTCTCTGGAAACTGGTTCAAATGTACACAACATACTGAAAAGGTGTATGTTTTTACCATTCTGAGTTATTGAGCCAGTAGAAAAATAAAGGTGATGACAGTTTACTGAGACGCTTGGCACTTACAGACTGCCTAAGAAGAAGTCAATACTGAGAAGAAGACTAACATGCCATTTGTAATGCATTGAGGCAGAATGATAGGTCCAAGCCGTTCCACCCTCTAGTGAGCAATAATAAACTCAAACACAGTAAGGCTAACTGTGCAGAGAACACCATGAACATGAAAAAGACAGAACATTTAAACTCTTAACTCACATACAATAAACACTTAATTCATGTTTAATAAACATTATTTTTTAAATATTGTCCATATTCTTATTTTTCACTAAACAAGAGGAGGCAGGGACAGAGGCATGATGGGGGAATGAGCTGGCAAAGGAGAATAGCCGTGTGTGTGTGCATGCCTTAGTGTGTGTGTACGTGAAGCTCTGTTACAAGCAATGTATAAATACAAAGATGTACTGACAGCGTAAGTTTGTTATAGCACTGTTGTCAAACTGCAAGTGTCTTTAGGTAAAGAAAATTAGGCTTTCACTATTTGTATAGCAACAAATAGGGATATGTGCAACTAGCTTCATGATTATAGTCGTCATCCTCAAAAATCAGCTCCTGAATTACTAGTTGCTTAAACAAATTATTAATATTTCTATATGGTGGCCCTTAATGCCAGTCAGATGTTGTGCTCAAGCTGTAACATGAATAGCCACACACTACTAGCCGGGGATCAGAGGTGCTGGCGGTCAACTGCTTGGAGCCCCAGGCTAGTGGGAGGGGCCTCGAGGGATGCCAAACTTGACACCACAGCAGTAGCTCAAAATGTTCACATTTTCCAATGACAGTCGGAACCTCCCTAAGGGGGCCCCATCTGACAGCACTCACTGTCGTTGCCCTGCTAAGCACAGCATGCGTTGATGTTTTGAAAACCAAAGACCAAAGAAAGAGTAACAAACAGGAAGAGAAGTAAGCGTTGGAACACTGGTGGTAATAAACACTGGTTGGGTGTGGGAGGGCCCCCCAATGAATTTTTCCCAGGGCCACAATAGACTGGCTGTGTCCTCGGATACTTGGCTTTTCTCTCCTGGCTGTACTGACATAAAACAATACAGTGAATGGATGGCATCTCTTAGGAGCAGTGTGGTTTAGTGGCGTTTGGATCTAGAAAATGGAGATAAAAATGTATGTAGGCTACACATGATAATCCCAGTTGGTAGAACTGATGATTCTACTGGATGACGCACGGCTTAAAAGCCTCCAGCGCAAGGTGATGGTGCTTAGCTTCTACAGTATAACTCATCAGGTATTATCCCTCATGTAAAAGCTGCAGCTCCCACTGACCATGAACACGTCATAGCACAACAGGTGTGAGCTACGCACACACAGAACAGGCTGCAACACTCTTTCAACCAGACGGGATAAACCAGGCCCCAGGAGTGGTGTGGTGCTTATGTAAGAAGCCTGAGTGAACAGAGGGATACAGTGAATTCACTGTTCTGTAGCCAAAAGTCATTAACACACCAAGGACAGGGGCTGATGATGTACATCCGTATACATATTCTGTTTAATGTAGTATGAGATTGGTTAAGTTGTATGTGAAGGAAACACTAGAAACGCTGGAATCTGCATCCAAAAACTCATCTACTGTAAGTCTGTTCCATTTCCTGTTTTAAAAAACAAGAATCCTAGACACAGACAAAACAGGAGACACACTTCAAAGCTTTGTTTGACATCTCTCCCAGGAGTGTTTTCCTGTCTTTTTGTCTTCTCTTTCCAAGAAAATTCAGACCTAATAAAGGCTGATAAGAAGTGACAAAAAACTGGGAACAGGAAAGTGAAACTTAATGATACACATACATTAACTCATTGTAGAGCAACAATTCCTCACATCACTCTACAGTTAAAGGAATAATATGCAATATTTACAGATAAATACAGCAGCAATCAAGTATATAGCTTTTACTCTGTAAATGTCTCTCTGAGTCATGACTGTCTACAATGAGTGTCAAGCCGAGTCCCGCCAGCTGTACTGTTGACGGCCCGTGTTTACATCATGGTAACATGGACGGGACGGCCCTGCGTACAAAGCTGTAAGTACAAGAGAAAAGAAGAATAACATAGCCAACTCACTGCTTATTTGGATGTCACCTAAGTGTGTTCAAATCTCGCTCATTCCGTGTCAATCTATGTGCAATGTGAAGCTATGAGTTAACCAAAGTGTGCTAACATTAGCATGCTAACACAACAATGCAGAACACATGCAATTGAAGCTCGAGCAAGGAACAATTTTGTCCGCCGCTTAATGGTGTTTAATTATGGTGCATTCTATTGATAACTCCTACATGCAAATGCGAGTAGAAAGGGGTTGGAGGTGTGCCGTTCGAGGAGAGCAGCAGCTCCAGAATAGCAGAGGTGTCGCCAAACAGCAGTTTATTTTGGTTTTAATGCTGTTGCTCAAGGGCGAGATCTACTGGATCAAATAGTCACACATTCTTCCTTCTTCCTTTTCCTTTTTTGTGAGTCCTGAGAATAACTTTGACTACCATTACTATTATTAACATTCTCAGGATTGATTTCAAAGGATTGTCATTTACAACAAAAATGCAAAATTGTCACCTGATGAAGTGAGACAATCTTGGAACAAAGGTAAAACCTGTTACTTTGCTGCTTCCGCTGTACAACAGTGATATATGCTGTGAATATAAGGCATTGTGAATGCCAAACAGCTTTCCTCTGAATGAAGTGCTACACCTGTCTTTCTCTTCTAACCCCTCCTGCCTTCTCTCACACACTCGTCTCACCTCCAATATTAAAATCTATTTGTTTCAATCTAGCAGTAAATGGTTCAATATTGTCTGGACTCAGCTGGCAAAAAGTTGGGCTGGCAGAGAAAGGCGTCTTTAATAAAGGAAGCAAGAGGCGAGGGCCAGAAAGCTCTCAGCACTTGGTGAGCTGCTGCACTCACCTAGGAGAAAATGTGCCCGAGAAGCTGGAAAAACACCGCTTAAATCAACTCCTATGGGGCTGCAGACAGCCAAATAGGATACACATGCAACAGGCTGAATCATTCTCATCTTCAGAAATTAATGAGTGGTATCAAGTCATACTCTGAATTTGTATTTTGCTATCAACACACTATTGTTGATTGTCCAATTAGTTTTTACTCCAACTTTGTCAGGAACTAAATTTAGATTCCCTCTAAAAATCTTCTTTGCCATTTTTTGTATTATCAAGTAAAGAATAAAAGAAAAACTCTTTGCACATGTGGCAAAAGACCAACCTGACTGCAAAAGATAAGGGCGAATCTCTTTCTTATAGGGAATGAAATATCCCGGGGGAAAGTGTGCACATGCTTCAGACAAAAAGCTCTCAAGTGACTATTTTAATACAAAGTATTCTGGTGTTTGTAGCAGTATAACAGTTGCACATATGCTGTAACACAGGTCGATGTAGCAAATGAGAAAATATGAGAACTGGCTTTAATAGTAATCCTTGTGACGTAACATCATGGAACAATATTCCAGATGTTTTAACTTCATTAGTTTCAGTGTGTACATCAATCTCAGAACCCATCGGCAATCATCGTCTATCCTCCTGATGACGATATATGCCTCTGGGAGTAGATGGCAATATCTCAGGGCTTACTATAAGTTTCTATTTGGTGTAGCCAGGTTAGCGTTAAACAACTTCCGGCCAGGACTTCCTTTTCCATGCAGTATTTATGTCTGCATCATAAACACATTGTCATCTCTTGGTCCACAACAAAGAGCCCACTGTTTTTCATTGTTCTGATAAAGTTTGTCATTTGTGTTTTCTTAACTTAAATCTGGTCAACATGTCTGAATTCAAAATGTTGGATTTATAGTTAGTACCACTACAAGGGAATTTTGACCCCCATAGTGGATAAGTTGGTCAAATGATGCATTTTTCCCATTTGTTACATCCATATCCATTTTTCCCCAGTGAACCAAAATAAGCCCAGTGAGATAATTCATTATGCTATGTCAGTGGTGAAAGCAAGACAACACAGACATATGGTCCCAATGAAGCCCATATCAGTCAGAGTGGATCAAAAGTCAATATACTTCACAATCAATCAAGGCAAATGCTGAATGTACTGAAAGTGCTTTTCTATCTTCTG